CAAAAGTCCTAGAAAGGACCCGGACCAGGAGAGCAAGCTGATGAAGAACCTGCAGCGCTATTACGAGTACCTGGACAACATAAATGACAGGATAGACAGAAGATGGAGGGAAACTGACAACGTGAAAGTGATGCTGAACAAAGTCGGTAAAGAGGGACCTCAAATGATACATTTGGATGCGAACGCGACAGCCTTCAAGGAGGCCTATGAGTGGGACGATGATGACGTTGACACCATGAAAACTACAGTGCTGGGCATCAGATATATGTGGGACCAAGTGACTAAGAAGTCTAACTATTTTGGGGAATCGAAGACGTGAAAATGTGTGTGCTAATGGACATGAATGTACGTTTAAGTTGAATCTATCACAAATTGACATGGGCAGGTGTTGAACTTGTGCGTGAACGTAATGTGTTAAAGGAACTCTTTCACACATGAATATAATCGTATATGCTAGATCACCTCTATCTCACATGAACATAACCATGTGTTAAAATAAAACACTCCGTCATACATGAAGATACGTTTTAGAACATAAACACATACATGAACATAAGTTTTAGAACCTCTCTCACCCATGAACATCGTCATGTGCTATTGCACTTCCAACACACAAACATGAAAATGTTAAGGATTAATAATGTGCGACAGTGCAACTGCAAGAGAGTTTAGAGTTTATTCATATTCAGTGATACAAAAACAAGCAGAGGTGCTAAAAGAAGAAGAAAAATCATTTTCTTCATTTATTTTATGATTAAATGAGTTACCTATTTTTGTAAAGTTTTTTTTGTATATTTGCTTCACAATTACCTGTATTTAGAAATGCTGTGGAATTTAAATGTTGTTTCTTGATTACGTATTCAGGCCAAGTCTCGCAAATATTTTCACTCGGAATACGTAAAAATGTTTTCACAGGAATTTTGTTTTCATGTAGATTGGCTTTATTTAATTATTTTATAAAAAAACTTGTAGTTGGTACACATGTTTTTAAATAGGTAGAATTAAATTAAATTGTTTATTTGTATCTTGATAATAAAATAAGTATTAACTTTTAACAAAGTCATATAATAATCGAAATTAAATCTTATAACATTATCAATAATACATTTTAAATCATACATCATCAAACATGAATATGTGTTAAAATCATCTGTCAAACATTAAAATAAGTGAGAGCACCTCTCTCACCCATGAACATCGGTCTTGTGCTATTAATATTAATATTAATAAAACCATTCTTTTTAGATTGTTTTCATCGCAAATATAAACAACATTTTAAGTCGTTTTACTCTAACATCGCAAATATAAACAACATTTTAAGTCGTTTCATACTCTAACATGTACTACAATTTGTTATACAATTTAAAAGCTCCTTTACTCATTAAAGTTGAAAAAACTAATTTAAACCAGCGTGATTGAGTAAAACACATAAAGCGCATGAAGGTAGTAAAAACTATAATGATTTATGACTGAGTTAATTAAACTAGTTCACAATGTCGGGTTGGCTAAAAACATGGAATCATTTTTTATCTGTGTTTTCATACTTCTAGTGTTTAACCCGTAACCGTGTTGCTTTGTTTGAAAAATAATATGATATGAGTAGGTAGCATACTCCTTAATGGATCAGCTGAAGCCAATAGTTGAATTGAATTGAATTGATTGATTGATTGATTGATTGGTAGTTCTGACCGGGGCAGAGGTCGTGTTTTGTTTACAATTTGTTTTATCTTGTTATTTCAATAATTTAAAACCTCATTTAACCAAATAAAACGATAAAATAGAAAACATAAGTTGTGCCCTAGTTAAACTAAACAGTAAAGCACAAATTATGAAATCAACCCTAAAATGATAAAAAAAATTTCGTCAACACTAGCGATCAATGCCACCGGACATGAACTAGACACGAAAAAACTAGCTTCAAAATTTACAATGGGATGAGAAGTCTACTGGTGATGGTTAGTATGATGCTCTCTGGTACATGCATAGATAAATCATTCACAGGCTCGGTCAAATGTGATGGGTATTATTATTTTTTATGTTGAAATGAAGCAGTGAAGGGTTCACTAAAAAAATCTCCTTGAAGTAAAAGAAAAAGGACTTTGTCAACATCAGCGCACTCGAACGTAACAAACTTGAAACAAACGCAACAAAAGATCTCATCTTTTACGCTAGGATGAGAAATATACCTGCAATATTCTAAATAATTGGAGGGTAAAAGGTCTTAACAACTTAATTTTAATCAACTTAGAAACGAAAATAATCTAGTTTCTTCACTTTTTTCTTTAGATCTAGTTTAGTATTGATTGAACTTTGGAGCGACAGTCTCGATACCGGCCACACAAGCGCCTCCGTCTGTCATGGTCTAACCTTCTCTCACGGCCGCGTTTAACTGCAGGCCGCGGCCTTCGAAGTGGCAACGACGCAAGTGTTGTTGTAAGTCTTGTTTGGAATCAGCTAATGGTATTTGTGTATTTACGAAAGATTGGTTACTGGACTATGACAATATTGACTCCGCTTAAAATGTACTGATATAGATTTAAATTCATATTGTTTCGGTTTTAAATTCTGTATGTTTTATTTTCAATATTTTAATAAATTTATGTTCATAAATTTAAATTTAAATAAATAAAGTGGGAATTAATGAGATGATGTCACCTGTCTGCCATGTTATCTTATGGGACGTCTGTCACTAAACAACACCACTTGCGACGTTGCCAATTCTACTAGGCCGCGGCCTGTAGTTAAAGGTGGCCGTGCGTCTCCCCGTCTACAGCCACAGCCTGACAAATCCCTTTTTGCAAACGAAAAAACTGGCCACTGAAAAAGAAGAACAACTTTAAGATAACTGAGGTCGAGGTGGCGGTGGCGGTCTCTGTCGTCTGCCGTCGCTGTTACATATGTAAACAAACAACATGAATCCCAAAAACCTCAATTCTGAAACTTTAGAACAGAACCAAACAAAAAGTAAAGTAAAGCTTTCTTTGATTTTTATTTTAACTAAAATCCTACTAAGTTCTAGTGTAATTACGCGATTTTGTATGTTGATGTTATCATTTCTCGTTCAGTTCTTAATATTATTGTTACACCATTTGTTTCTTGGATTTCCAACTTGGTAAGTTAGGCCCTAAATTAACTTCAAATTTTCATAAACTTTGTTGGATATGAGAGTGAAAGGATTAGCATAAAATTAACTCATTAACCTTGTATAAGCATTCCAGATTAAAATCATTTTATGTTAACAAACCAAATTTAATTCTGATTAGATCCGTCCCGAGGCAAATTGATAGCACTAATTGGATGTTTCAGGACTAACCCATGTCATGTTCTCAAATTTCATTTTAATTTTGTGTAAATATATGCTAGGCATAGGAATAATATCTGCATGGGTTGTAAACATTAGGTAATCTCTGAAATAAGGTAAATTTAGTTTGTAATTTGTTCCACTTGTTACGGATTACTTGAGATGCTTACTTGACTCTAACTTAAGAGTGTGCATGGCTGTGTAATTTTTGGTGAGTGTTGAACATTTCCAGGCCTATGTTAATTGATATCATAAATTTTAACTACGGTATTTAAAAATACCCCGCCGCAGCAAACCTGCAGACTAAGCGAATTTCCATTTGACTGATTGGATTTACACTGAAATGTCTACTTAAAAATATAACATTTATTCTTGATTTAATTAAATAGAATTAGTTTAACAAGTACTTAGGTTTGCTGCATCAGGGAGGGTAAAACTGTTTTTTTTTTTTTTTTGTAAAATGTGAATAGTTAGTAAGAAATAAAAACATTTTCCAAATTTGATCAAAATATGTTCACAAACAAGCAAACTACAACAGTTTACTTATTCTCCATAAGAATAACATGGGAATTTTAAATTTACAATTTTTTGGAATTTTCTCCGTAACCATTAGGCGCATAATAACGCTTCAATATACTAAATTATTTGTTTTTTTAAGCTCTACAAAATGGTTTGGAAAAAAATTGCTAAATTTTATGTTTTTTGGGTCAAAAATGGGAAAAACCTATTTTTACCCCATAAAACCCCCCGTAAACCCCCGTTCCCATGGTCCGATCATGCTGGATCGCGAACTCGTTCGAATAAACGTACGTTTACACGTTTGTACCAAATTTCATCAAAATCGGATCATTTTTGCTCGAGTTATCGTGCTGACGGACACATATATATATATATATATATATGCATTTGAACGGATGGCGTTTTTGGCCTCTAGGGACCTCAAAACGAAAAAAAAATCGGTCCCGCGTCCAGGTCTTACCATGAGTACTACGGTAATAGCTTATTCCCTATATGGGAAATTCGCTAAAAAGGCCAATAAGGCACATTCAATTTTCTAAAACCTAACGGTCGTCATGTCACTCAATTCAATTTATAAATTAAGTGTTGCCTCCATTCTGTTAGTAGGTACCGGTATCAGTTACTGTATTAAAAAAAAATCAAAGCTAAACCATAGGCTACACTAACCAATGCAAGGAGAATGTTTTACCAAAGACTAACTCAACATTGTGTTCCAGAGGTTCATGTGGCCCGTGGCACGAGATATAGAGAGTCATGACCAGCTGCAGGTTCAGTTGCTTGTGCGCAGCCGCTACCTGGGACCTGACAAGCTACTGGGGTCCTACACTCTGGTGTTGCAGAAGTTGGTGCAAGGCTTTAACTCAGCGTTGTGTTCCAGAGGTTCAAGTGGCACGAGCTATAGAGAGTCATGACCAGCTGCAGGTTCAGTTGCTTGTGCGCAGCCGCTACCTGGGACCTGACAAGCTACTGGGGTCCTACACTCTGGTGTTGCAGATGTTGATACAAGGCTATAACTCAACGTTGTGTTCCAGAGGTTCAAGTGGCACGAGCTATAGAATGAGCAGCTGCAGGTTCAGTTGCTTGTGCGCAGCCGCTACTTGGGACATGACAAGCTACTGGGGTCCTACACTCTGGTGTTACAGAAGCTGGTGCAAGGTTTTAACTCAGCGTTGTGTTCCAGAGGTTCGAGTGGCCCGTGGCACGAGCTATAGAGAGTCATGAGCAGCTGCAGGTTCAGTTGCTTGTGCGCAGCCGCTACCTGGGACCTGACAAGCTACTTGAGTCCTACACTCTGGTGTTGCAGAAGTTGGTGCAAGGCTTTAACTCAACGTTGTGTTCCAGAGGTTCATGTGGCCCGTTGCACGAGCTTTAGAGAGTCATGAACAGCTGCAGGTACAGTTGCTTGTGCGCAGCCGCTACCTGGGACCTGACAAGCTTCTGGGGTCCTACACTCTGGTGTCGCAGAAGTTGGTACAAGGCTGTAACTCAACTTTGTGTTCCAGAGGTTCGAGTGGCCCGTGGCACGAGCTATAGAGAGTCATGAGCAGCTGCAGGTTCAGTTGCTTGTGCGCAGCCGCTACCTGGGACCTGACAAGCTACTGGGGTCCTACACTCTGGTGTTGCAGAAGCTGGTGCAAGATGGCAGAATATGCGTCTATGACACACTGGTGGACCCCAACAACAAACCATTACCTGTCAGTATATAGGCCTACATGTTCCTTAAATTTGTTAAAAGTTTGAGATTAAATGTTTAGCCTAGGCCTATTATAAAACTTAACTTATGACCAGAAAGATACTAAGTTGTAAAAAATAAAAAATTGTTAAATACCTCCTCAAGTGATTTAATACTAGTCTCTAACTGTGAGACAAAAATTAGTTTGACTTTCCTTTGATTACAACATAAAACTTTACGGCCCATAAACAAATACTTGGATTGATGTCGGCAATATTTATACAGAATAGAGTAGCTTATTTTTTTAAAAACTACAATTTCTCGAAATCTGTGAATAATTAATTTTCTAATGCCTCTTTAGGTGAATAGATTTATTTAGTTTCTACAATTACTGCGAAGGAAGGGATAAAAATCTTATTTATCGACTGTGAGCTTGATTGTTTTAAGTTTTACTGTAGCCACCTGTACAGCATAGTAACTTAGGTTTCATTGTTCTAGGCAACAGTTGAGTTTGAGGTGACGTATTGTCCCCCTGACGGAGTGTCTACAGCTGGCTCGTCATTCTCCACACAACAGATGGACATGGACCAACAGATGCTGATAGACATTGAACAGAACATCGCCAACTTGGAGCGGAGCATGAGTCAGGTTAGATAATCGTGAAGATAGATGAGGCTTTAAAATCATGTATAGGTCAAAAGGTGTAACGAAAAACGTTGCAAAGGTTTTAGAAATATTCAGTTCAATTCATTGTGCTTCAGATTAAATAATGATTGCTTTTTATGTGTAGCTGGAGTAGGTTTTATTTTACTCTGTTAAAACCGGAGGAAATCCAAACGGTATGTTTTATATGGTATGTTTTAGATACAGATTCCTAAATTTTATTTCTTGAAGATCGTTTATACAAGTTTCAAGCTTTAAAAATTATTAGATCATATAGTAGTCTAATTAATAATAAAAAAAATAATAATAAAAATGAAATAGGTATTTAGCCTACCTAAATTAAAGAGAAAGTGGCAAAATATGAAAATTTTCTGTTTTAGAAATTTTGTCTACATATAATCTGTTTTTTGCAGTTGTGGTAGATAGTATGTCTAAACAATTCTGACACCTTTAAATCATTGGTTACCACATGTTAATTCTAAGCAACGACGATAAAAACAGCATATTAAAAGACGCATGTTATCAATATAAAACTACGTGATCTGCCAACCAAACGAATCTCACAAACATAAAAGACTCAAGAATATTTGTCCAAATCCAACATACCGTTATGGTTTTATGAGTACGAATATAAGCTATTTAACTACATTATAGGCCTAAATTAGTGGATCCATAAAAAGGGAAAGTGGAAAACCCCTCTGACTCCAGCTCTGTCTGGCGTAGGGGCGGAGAGGTAGTTGGCAGAGTGGTGCGGGGACGTCAGCCCCGAGAGGGCAACACCGCGGGGGCCTACAGCGGGGAGGCTCACTATCCGCTCCGGAGAAATACGAGACCTCCCCTGCCCCTGAGAAAAAGAGGTATTTTTTGAAAATATTTAGTCAATTTGATTTATCGTTTTAGTTGATGATTTTACAAGAGCGTGGAAATATATGTTACATTTCTTCACAGAAATAATTTAGAAATAGGACGTAAACTAGGAAAACCAATTAACAAATAACGTATGAGTTAAACTTATGTGACTGTGCATAGATAGAATAGCATCTGAATAATTTGGTAAACATGATTACAGTAATGAGAATAATACACATACGTGGTTATCTTTAAAAAGAACTTTAATCAGAATTCTTTTTAGATTGTGGGTTTAGCTGCTAATCCAGGTCTTGTTTCCTGATTGCACTTTATCAGAATTAACTTTTTGTTTTGAGTGTACAAGTAAGCTTATATGAATAATGTATGTAACAAAATTATTCATTAACCGTGGATACTGGACATTAATCTCATCCTACCTTTACAGTACTTTAGTCTGCAGCCTGTTAGCGAATTCCCCTATAGGGAAATAGCTATTACCGTAGGTGGCAAAGTAAGACCCAGACCCAGGACTGAAATACTTCTTTTATGTCTCCAGAGGCCAAAAGCACTATTTTTACATTTATTTTGTTCACATGTTCAATATGACGGCCAACAACAAAGGACAAACATTAATTGTGACATTTGACTATAACTCATTTGTTCCTCTACAGCAGGGGAGGTAACTTCAAGTGTAGTGTGAAGAACCTGATCCGCCTGGGTAAGCAGCGTCCCCCCCGTGATGGTGGGAGAGGGGAGTCGGGAGCTCTGCTGGACCAGGAGTGTGGCCCTGCTATTGGCTCCCCGGTACCTCGGCCTCCTAGCGTGTCCAGTATGAGCTCGGACAACGAGAGCACCACATCCCTCAACCCCGACAGTCCTCATGTACCTAAACGGTAAACAATTAGTATAATGTCAGTAGGTAACTTAAAGTTTCGGTAGTTTTGCAAAGGTTATGATTGTTCTTTATCATAACCCTGATAGATATAAAATGTTTTTGAAGATTTTTTAGAATTTAATTTGTTTGTAGAATAACTTTATGCTTAACCCATCAATGATTTTAGTATGATTGAAATCGGTATGAATAAGTTAACCCACACAGTGTTATCTTGGACAGTACGGTATTGTAGCAGTGCTGTTAGTAAACTCGCAAGCTATTATAGCTGCCGGGTACTGTTTTTAAAAACTGAAAGTATGTGTACTCTGAGAATATAATCCTAGGCCCCATATGATTACTGAGCAAATTACGGAAGTCATCGACCGTTATTTGCTCACAATAAGTACCTCTTTTAACAGTGCTTGATCTTGGAAACTTATATTTAATTTTTCCAAAAATTGTGTAACCGTTGAAATAAATAAATACTAAAAATCCTACTTTTAATTTAACCTTCTTCAATGTGGTTATTTAAACAGTCTGTAATGATGTTATAGAATTTTCAAAGCTATACAATTTTAAGCTGATGAGGTAAAAGTTCACATTTCAATTTTTTAGGCCTGTAAACTGGGCAACGTACAATAAATCAGAGGACATTTGTAACGAAAACGAAAAACTAACAAGTGAACAGTATACTGATTTACCACCTATTATTTGGTTAATGAACTCACAACCTTTTCAACCTACTGTAATAAAATATTTAATAGGTAGGCTACGGTACGTTGAAAATTAATGTTAACTTTTTTTACAGTTCAAAACCCACAACCAGTCTGACTTTGTTGCAAAGTGCCCTCAAAGCCCAGGACTTTCAGGTAAGCTCAATTTCTTATTTTTACAAATTTTTCTCAATTATATCATGGAGGTATTATGTTTACGTTACTTTAGGGGAAATTTACTGTTTTCAGTTAGTTAGTTTGTCTAGTCTAGCGTTGAGGGGTTTTCTAATCTTTAATGACCAATTAATGACAGCCAAATACTTTTGGCTAATTTTGTTTTCTTACGACATAAGGGATGGTAGTGAGAAAGGGTTTTACCATTTCATCCGAGTAAATACAATATTTTATTTTCTCTTATTTCAGTATTGTGTAAACCAAGAATTAATTAATCACAATACCTTTCTCCTGTTCAGGTTTTACCCTCAGTTATATTTATTGTTGTCAGGTTTGCATCACTATCATCGAGGCCAGACAGTTAGCGGGCCTCAACATGGACCCAGTGGTGTGTGTACAAGTAGGCGATACCAAGAAATACACCAGTGTGAAAGAAAGCACCAACTGTCCATACTACAACGAGGTAACTACTCGTTGAACTGACTTTCAAAAGTGAAAGCTATTCTTAGTAAAAAAATAATGAGATTTAAAAATACATACTTATTTTTACTGGCCAATGTAGTTTTTAAGGAATTTTTATTTTCTGTAAATGGTAATTCAGTGCATAAAGTTACATAAATAGAACATTTCATTCATCATCAAATACAGTGATTTTTCAAATACCATGTTAGTTGTTAACTCCAAAATGATGTTTAAAGGATAGTTTGAGAATTTTTTTTACCTTTTGAATATTTTGAATTAATCAAATTATGATTTAGAAAATACAAGTGTTTTAATCTTAATAAACTACTTTTATGGGAACAGGAATATATTGTTTTACTAGTGTAATATTAGTTATATAGAACTATGTAAAGTCTTTAAAACAAGGTTATTTACATCATAAATATTCAGACCATGCAATATCCAGTTTAATATTCAGAAAGAACAAACTAGCGAGAAACCAAATCCAAACCAAATAAGTGTTTTTTTTTTTTTTTACTGTTGAATGACATTTGTTTTCCTAGTACCACAGGGAGTTCTTTTTAAATCACAGGTAACTGCCTGTAATTGCATATTATGGAACTTCATTTCATAGTTAACGTCTTTATTGATCAGCTAAAAATAATACCAAGTTATACTTTCCTGCTTTATTTTTAGGAAGTTTTGTGTTCAACTGTTTCTTTTTACTTTAAGAATCCAATAAATGTGTCTATTATAAATCAATAACAACAGTAACAATAAAATAATATTTTACTTTTGTGTTTCAGTATTTTGTGTTCGACTTTCATATGCCGGCTGTGATGCTTTTTGACAAAATTATTACTTTATCTGTAAGTATGGATACGTGTTTTATAATAACTAGAATCTATATTGTATATTTTGTAATATGATACACCTGTACTTATTACAACTGCTGGGTGAACTATTGTTATTTCCAAACCTGATTGCTGTACAATGGGTTTCTTTGTAATTAAATGTTGTTCGATTATGAAGCAAACAATTTCATTTCAATGACTTGGTAGGCCTAATTAATATTTTATCATGATATATTCTGTGTTCATTAAATTGCGATGAATAGATATTATACAGGGTGTGTATAAAGTCCCGCACGGGCTTAATATTTTCTAAACGACAACAGATAAATCAATAAGATTTGGTACATCAACACCACACCTAAAAATCTACTTTTTCAAGGAACTATGAATTTTCTGTCATATCATGGGGACGCATGGAGTCAGAGAAAATCTTAAATGGAAGCATAGGTCAATATGCACATCAAATAAAAGGTCTTTTTTAGTAGAATACCGCAAATTACACTTCAAAAGGTTGATCCTGCGCAAAATGGCAGCCGTTCAAAGATTTCTTGAATCCGCCATTTTGAATCTTTGAATGACTGCCATTTTTTACTCAGGCGTTCTTTTGAGCTTGAATTTATGGCATTGTAATCTACTAGTGAAGACCTTTAATTTGGTGTGCATATTGACCTATGCTTACGTTAACAATTTTCTTCCGATTACTAGGGCTGTGCCCCCTGAGGAGTAAGCTTATAATAGCAATGCAAATTAAATGAATCTTTTAACAACTGTCATTCTTGGCTCGGTTGTCTGTTTGAGTTCAAATTTGCTGCATTATATTCTGCTAGTAAAGACCTTTAAACTGATGTGCATATTGACCTATCCTCCTATTTAATATTTCCTTCTGACTCCTTGCGGGACGTCCCCATGATATGACAGAAAATTCATAGTTCCAAAAAGTAGATTTTTAGGTGTGGTGTTGATGTACCAAATCTTATTGATTTATCTGTTGTCGTTTAGAAAATATTAAGCCCGTTCAACAAAAATAACATGTTGTAAATTATTATACTTGTGTGTTGGCTGTGTAAGCTTATAGATTTGTGAAATGTAGAGATCTGGTTTATGTTATGTTGTAGGTTTTACATTCCAAAAAACTCCTCCGTTCAGGCACGGTTGTGGGCAGCTTCAAGATAGATCTGCGAACCGTTTATGATTCTCCGGGTACAAAAGCAACTTGATCATTTCTGTGTGCATGTCAAGTTTTATTCAACTATTTTATTAAACTTTTATATTCTATAGATTGTAGAAATTGTAGGTTTTTATCTTCAAACTAGGCCTAGCGATTTAGTTAGTTGTAGGACTCTTTTTAAAAATTGATCATTCAAATTAAATTTGTCTTTAAAGGATGTTTTATAGTAAAATACGGTACAGTGTCGTAGGTATTAGATCAAAATTTACAATTAAACATTTAATATGATGAAAAATCATTTTGGGGGTGAAAGAGTATTTGTGTACAAAAGGTTTGTCTTCAAAATTTTATATTTCCAAGTAGTATATATATAGACTATAGACTATATATTCAAACAGAAATGAGTCTGTGTCGTACTAGAGGACATATGATTCATGAACTAACCATTTGAACCACCATACCATTTACAATTTGAACCATACCATTTGACCATTTGAACGTTTAGTAATAGTGCCTGCAATTTTAAAACAGTAATATATTAGACTTCCACTAATTTAGGTGATGGTCTAAAAATGGTATTTTCTTGGAATGATATAGATAATTATAATTTAGACTTTACATCGCCATCCAAAAACTATCAAATCACCATTTTCATTGACAACGGCTAGTTGAATAAAACTTGATGATTATTTTCAATTTCCAGTTCTTGCGCACTAAAGGTCTGTCTGTTTGTTCGCTTCTTCTTCTTTTCTCTGAACCTTTCTCGTTGCCTTGAACAGGTCATGCAGTCAAGAAATATCCTCCGGTCAGATAAAATGCTGGGCAACTTTAAATTAGACGTGGCCACCATTTGGGCCCAGCCAGGTATTTGAGAATGTTAACCTGTTGAGTAAAGTAGTTAGTGCCTAGCCAGACCCGTAGTACCGTATGGGAAAGAGGCACTTCCACCATGATACCCCAGTAAAATACCCAATAAATACGGGTGTTTGGAGATGTTTTTCAAATTTGATGCTAAAACTGAGTGCAAACGTTTTTTACTCCTCCTTTTTGGATTGTTGGTTTTCCTTTTTTTTTCAAATAACACATTTAGGCATTTCTTTTTTTTTATTAAAAATGTTGTCTTTTAATAATTGAGCAACACTAACATTAACTAAACATTTATTTAACTTGTAATGTTGTTTACTGAAATAAAAGTATGTGGGATTTTTCAAAACAGTACTGTGGTTCTATAATTATATCCACTTTCAATATTCATTTGTAGAATGCTATATGCAAAATAAAAACTTTAAGACTTAACAAACCATTTTTAAATAAAAGTTCTATATTGTATTTAAATATATTTTATAATATTTCGTCTTTAAGCTACTACAAATACAATTTAATTCTAATGCTATTCAAAGAAGTGTGTTTCATAATATCATTGTGGTTTCAGGTTAAAACGTTTTACAGATACATTTTAATTTATAACTGTCCTAATAAGATTGCGCAGTTAATATTTAAAATTTTCCTTTTGCTTCCATTTGTTTGAGATGATATAATTATTCGAACTGTTTGTCAAATTGAACAATTACCAATCATAAATAGCTGCAATTAAGAATTTCTAAACTAATACTATAATAATTTATGGGTTTTTGTACCACTAAGAGTAAATAGCCTACTTCAAAATAATTATTTTTTACATCTTACCGGTTTCGTAAAATCTACTTGAGCGCATAATTTAATTATAATTATTATAATCAGGTAAGCTTTATATTATCTACTTGTACCATCACATTCCTTTTCTTTGCACATTCACACGCTACTCTACAATACACAAATGCATTTGTAGTTTGTTTTATTGAGATGGATGTTAATTTGCATGTGTTATGTTTATAAATATTTACTTGTATATCACATATCTCTAAACATTTAAGACTTTTTAACCTATTTTATTACCATATATGTTAAATGGTGCATGATGTTATATTTCTGTCCGATTCAAATAACCCATAAACTTGTATAGTCTATTTTATTTTAATTGTTATTTTATGTACTGTTTTAACGAAAAGCTCGTTTGGTTACATGTTTTTTGAATAGTCTCAAATTTGTTTCATCATAGTAGTTTACAAAACGATTGCATAAGGATAGTCTTTATGACACAAATATAAAATTTGAGGTACAAGCCTAAGTGAGTGCCTTTGAAACTTCTACGAGTGTCCGTAAAGGCAAATTAGGCAAGTTCGGTACACTTCTTTACCTAGGACCGTTTTTTAATTATTAAAAATCACTACCCATGAACTTCTAAGAGAGGTTATGTTTTTGTTTATAACCTCTCATTGCCACTGATTGTGATGCAACGTCTTATTGTCCCAACCACTCTTATTGTTTAATCAATTAAATTGGTCTTAACCGATCATTAAGCTGACGTCAAAAGTATTACAATTTCACCTTTTTTCTCTCAATTCTTGAACCTTACTGGTCCAAACTTGTACTATAAAGTAAGCAAACAATACTGTAAAGTCAATCTTTTCAATTCTAAAAACTGAATCGAAAAGACTAGTTAAAAAAATGGCCGTAGCTAAATTTAATGTGCTTAAACAATTCAATAAACCAATCGAATGCCATATTTCTCGGTTTACCGAACTACTCCCACCACAGCTACTCATTTAATTTCAAAGTAATTTAATTCGTTGTAAAGTATAGCATTGATGAATATTGTTTGGAAGAGGGGAAGGGAAAAGATGAAAAGAATTAATAATTATGCTTAGATCAAAGACCTCAAAAGAGGAACTAGGTGATCAATGTCAGTGACTAAAAAATTTTCAAATACACACAAGCAGAGTTTCTTTTAAAAACAATAATAACAACAGAAAATATGTTAGCTTCTTTGTGTTTAATTTTGTCTCTCCTAATCTTGTTTCAATTCAAAAACCTGTAAATATGTTCAGTGATTATAATTTTTTTAAATTTTTATTTTGACCTATCACTAACATTTTGTTAAAGTGGACGGTCAGTTTATACAAGAATTTAGGGATTTAAGGTTATAGGTTTGGTTGATGTGACTACCGGTACATGAATGAAATGTTTGCAGATCACCAGTTCTACCACAAATGGGCATTGCTGACGGACCCTGACGACATCGCCGGGGGCCCCAAGGGATACCTGAAATGTGACATCAGTGTCATCGGTAAAGGTGACACAGTCAAAGTGCCTCCAAAAAGTGAAAAGGACGAAGACGACATAGAAGCGTGAGTTGGTTGTAAAATACATTTTAATTTGTTCTAATGTTGTAAAAGTACAAATAATTGGTTCATCTAAAACACATGGGTCTCTTACAACAACCTCTTACACTCTTACCTTCGCATTGGAGCCAGGAATTGTTTTATACAAAACTTACAGAATTTCATACTGATACCTCTATAGAGTTTAGGTTCTGAGCCCAATTGCGAAAGAGGTAACTTTCCTAGGTTTGTCAAATGCAGAAAAAAGGGGGCTGTTTTATGTACGAAATAGAAGTGTGGTATCTTTACTTCTCCTCCTCTTAAAACATGACCTATTGTAGTGATACTATAGATATTGTTCTGTTGACAGTAACCTGTTGTTGCCTGATGGAGTACCTGTAGAGAGACAAAGAGCAAGATTCATTGTGAGAGTCTACAGAGCAGATGGTTTACCTAAAATGAACTCCTCTCTCATGGCCAACGTTAAGAAAGCCTTTACTGGAGAGGTTAAGGATCTTGTCGACCCTTATGTACAAGTCTCCTTCGCTGGACTAACGGTAACTGTAATATTTGTTTTTACTCACTCTCAAAATATTAATTTTTAAAAGTACCAAAACATTAATTTTACAATACTCTTAAACCATACCATTGCATAGCTTCTAAAGTACTCACTCCACAAGCCCTGTCCTTCAAATATTTGTTTTATAATTTTTACAAACACCCAAAGTGTATTGTATTCTTTTTAAAGGAGTCGTTTATTCATATATTTTCCTAAAAATTGTTAGACTTCTTCAACAAACTTACACACATTAATATTTTTATCTGTAACTTATTGGTAACACTCTTTTCTAGGGTAAAACGTCAGTCCGGAAACACAGCTACGCTCCTGTTTGGAACGAACAAATCGTCTTCACTGAAATGTTTCCACCATTGTGCCAAAGGATCAAAGTCCAACTACGAGACAACGATCCTGTCAACAACACCGTCATCGGAACTCACTTCATCGACCTTAAAACTATATCTAATGATGGGGAAAAGGGTAAGCATGACACACTATGTAATACTAATACAGTAGAACGTCGATTATCCGAATTAATTGGGGATTGGGGGTGTTCGGATAACTGATTTTTCGGATAATCGGTCATTGACGGGAAAATACGGGGAACAGGGGAAATCACGGGAAGGGATAGCGGCCGGCGGCGATTTGCCGATTTTGCGTCTGTGGATACTGTACAATAATATAAATTTGATTAATTAACATCCAGATTTATTTTTACAATACAGCAACAAACATGTACAACAGTACTTAGAACTGGACTACAGAATCAGAATGTGTACAGAAAGAAATTAAAAAAAAGTCCAAAATAGATTTTTGCTTTAGTCCAGACACTCGCTTTTTCGAGAAGAATCACATTCTTCTTGCTGCTCTAACCACAGCATTGCAGTCTCTAGGCAGTGAAAAGCTTCATCGTGGGATGGGCCGTTTTCATTAACGAGGTCGATGTCATAATCCTCTTCTTCATCGTCATCACCGTTCTCTAGGACGTGAGCTATGATTTCATCGTCCGTCATCACTTCATATCCAGGGTCATCTACATCACATTCAAGCCACTCTTGAATATTGTCTTGATCACAATCTTAAAATTCTGGAGATTGGTTTATAAGGCCAACCAGTTCTGACACAAATTGGGTCGGGGGCTCTTTAGGTGTAGGAGCAGCCTTAGTTGGGCAAAGCTTATTCCAAGCTTTCTTCAGTGTGGTCTCCTTGACGCAGTCCCAAGCTTCTGCAGCCATATAAACAGCATCCTTCATGTTTATTGCTTTATAGAGCTGAAGAATGGGTTTGTCTTCTTCTTGCCCAAGCAGGACCATCCGTAACAATGCTTTTCTGTAGTAAGGTTTAAAGCTTTCAATTACCACTTGGTCCATCGGTTGGAGAACTGAGGTTACATTTGGAGGCAAAAAAAACCACCTTGAACTTGCCATTTTCTCTGTCGAGGTCCATCGAGGAAGGATGTCTTGGAGCATTATCGATAATTAGCAAAACATTTCCAGAGCTCCCAGTTGCGATGTGTTGCTTTTTAACTTCCGGTATAAATACGGTATCATACCATTCAACAAAAATGCTTGTGTCCATCCATGAGTTCTTTTGGTTTTTGTAGGTGAGTGGTAATTTTACAATTCCCTTAAAGCACCTCGGGTTCTTAGATTTCCCAATGATAAGCAAAGGTAGCCTATGAGTTTCAGTTTTATTAGCGCACACCATTGCAGTGATGCGAGCCTTGCTTGCCTTAAAACCAAGAGCTGACATCTCTTTCTTAGAAACTAAGGACTTTGTTGGCATTTTCTTCCAATATAGGCCTGTTTCTTCTGCATTATAGACCATTAGGACAATCGTAGCCTTCCTCGCTGAGCAAACTTGCAAACGAATCTTTGAATTTTTCTCCTGCTTCAGTGTCAGCAGACAGCTTTTCCCCTTGAATATCCAACTCCCTAATACCATGCCTAGATTTAAAACGTTTCAACCAGCCGGTTGATGCCTTAAAGTCAGCGTTACCACCAAGTTTCGCATTCATTTCTAGGGCTTTTTCACAAAGCAAAGGGCCACTTATTGGTTGACCTTGTCCACGTACCTGCATAAACCAAGTGTACACTGCGGTGTCCAAGTCTTGGTTTTCCGCCATTTTCATGGTTTTTCTATGTAGGCTCCCATCTTCACTGTCGAGTACACACGCAAATTTTTTGATAGATTCACTTTTCTTTTTAATGTCAGATATCGTCGCATTTCCAACTCCATATTCCCGAGCTAAACTCGATCCACTAGCACCTCTTTTTAACTGCTCCAATATCTTAAGTTTATCAGAAACACTAAGCACTACGCGTTTACGTTTGGACGACATAGTCAGTGTAGAATGAAACAGTACAATAGAAACCCGTACGAACTGTCGCTGTCGAATGCTCACAGGCGACTGAGACTTGAGACGGAGACTGAGTCAGTGGGAGTAGGAGTGGCGCGCACGGCCATAGTGCACGACAATTTCGTCATGTAGGCCCGCCCCGCCTCCCGCCCTGCCTCCCGCCTAGCAGCCGTGCGGTGGCGTAGTGCTACGGCCAGTCGTGATTGGCGCGCGATTTTATTGATTTTTGCTTCTTACTTCCTTTCAGTTAACCGACGTTTCGGATGACCGAGCTTCGGATAATCGACGTTCTACTGTACTAAGATCACAAGAGGGAATTTGTCTTCTATCAAAAACAACTGTCTTAGCGGTAAGTATTGGATTTAAAACTTAAAACTTGACTCAGTTTGACTTGCTTGGCTTGAAGCGCAGCAGTTGGGTAGCCAAAGGATATTACTTGGAGTTATCCTGAGATTGTGAGGAAGGATCTTGATGGAGTGATTGAGTTGTAAAGCTGCTACTGTATGTGTCATAAATCTCACTTCTGGAACTACAGAGCTACTGAATGTAGTTCCCTTCTTTCCTGCTTAGGATGGGAATCGATGCTGCCAAATTAAGAGAATGTTACTGTATCTTCTCTTAGACTTGCTAAAAACCCTTTTTTCTCATTGCAGTTTGGTAATTTAATTGCTAGACAAAATTCCAAACTCTTAAGCTCACATGAATAATGTTCCCATCTTTAAACTCCAATATAAAAGTTCTGAATGTTCTTTGTACCTTAAATCTTTAACGGTTATTGACATATTATTGTTGCAGGTTTTTTACCGACATTCGGACCAACTTTCATCCACCTGTATGGATCGACTAGAGATTACACACTGATAGACGAACATTCTAACCTCAACACCGGACTGGGGGAGGGGGTGTCGTACAGAGCGAGGCTGTTGATAGCGATAAGGACGGAGATAACAGACAACTTGGACATCACGCCTTCGCAAGTCGATGTGGAACCTACCTACCCAATAACTGAGGTAGAGAGAGCTGATTTGCTATTGTGCAAAACAACGAGGGGCAAAGTCGTTGCTTTTTGCTAATAATATGAATCATAGGGAGTAAAAGAAATGAGAATATGGTTCATGCACTGCAAAGTAGATAAAATATTAATTATTTAGATAAAATGAATTTTTCTGTGTAATTGTAAGTAATTTCCTTAAGAGTCAAGAGTATTTATTCCATTGATCTATAGCAATACAGAAATAGGAACAGTCAAAATATTCTTACTAAATGCTAATACATTAAATAAAAATTAACTAAAAACTATGTACAACAGGTTAAAACTTAACATTAAACTCAGACATTTCAAATTCATCAAACGAATAAAAAGGGTTTTCAACTAGCCAATTTTTTATAGTTTTTTTGAAGTGATTAAATGGGATGAGTTTTGCAGTTTGGGGGAGCCTATTAAAAAACATTACACAGTTGGCTTTAAAGGATTTACCTGTTTTGGCCAACCTGTGTTGGGGTAGATCCAGCTTAGCCTTGCCTCTCGTGTCATGTGCATGAAAGTGGTCTCTGGTGGTGAAATCTGAAAGGTGTAGTTTTGTGTGGATAAGTACTTGGTAGATATAAAGGTTTATTACTGTCATGATATTTAGTCTGATAAACAATGGTTTACAGTGTTCCACTTCATCCACTCTACACATAGTTCTCAAGATTTTCTTTTGAATTATTAGAATGTCATGTACAGCACTAGAGTGACCCCACAAAACTATTCCATAACAAATATGTGATTGGACAAAAGAAAAACAAGATATCCTCAAATACTCATCCCTCACACAATCTCTAAGTTTCCACATTAAAAAAGACACTCTGGAAATTTTCTTACAAATGCCATCTATATGATCATTCCAATCAAGTCTAGAATCCAAATGAAAACCAAGAAGCTTTACTGATTTATAGTTACTTCTACCTGCCATGCTTAGCAATAAATCTTGAGTTTTATCATTATTGCAAAGCAACTTATTTGATGAAAACCATATTTGTGCTGAGTTGTAAGCATGATTTATGTTCTCCTCAAGAGTTTTCAGATTGGAATGTGATGAAAGTAAAGTTGTATCATCAGCATAAATGACTGTCTGAGAGGGTATGTTGTAAGGTAGGTCGTTAATGAAAACTACCTATAAAAAGAAATGGTCCAAGAACAGAGCCCTGGGGAACACCAGTTGTTACAGTTAATGTTGTTGATTGGGTAGAATTAAAAGAAACATATTGTTTACGATTAGACAGATAGGACTTCAATAAATTCAGAGAGTTGTGTGAGATGCCGTAGTAAGAGAGTTTGTCAAGGAGAATACGATGTTCAACACAATCAAAGGCTTTACTCAGATCGCAGAGCTTTAGAGACACTGATTCCTTATTTTCAAAAGCAGTAGGAATGTTGTCAACCAGAGTAGACACAGCAGTGGTTGTTGATTTCTTTGATCGAAACCCAAACTGGTAGGGACTAAATAGATGGTTTATGTGGAAGTGATGATTAAGCTGAACGTGTAGGAGTGACTCAAATACCTTAGAGAAGATGGGAACAATTGAAATTGGTCGATAATTCTGTACCAGAGCCTTATCCCCTTTTTTATAGACAGGAATCACCTTAGAGACTTTTAGTAAGCTATTGAAAGTACAGTACAATACATTGTACAACAATAAGAAATGTATTTTGGTGGCTGGATAGAAAGCCATACAATACACCTATAGAGAGATGTAATAAATCCCACCATCACTTATTGTTATAAGCTACCTTAAATATGTCTGCTGAAAGGACATATAAAACATACTGTTTTGTGGCATTTATTGATACTGAAAATGTTTTAAAGAGTTTTCGGAACAGCCTGAATCGTTTAACTATTACTTCATAAAATAAAGCCTATTTCTTATCCATGATCATTAAATATAGTTTAGTGACAAACGGTAAATAGGACCTTTTTTAACCTTATCAAAGTACCTTATGATTTTCTACAGATTGTACCAGCAACCTTCTGTTTAGGCTTGTCTAACAAATCAATCAGATCTCTAGAAGATTTGAAACAATTAGACGTTTTATAGAGTTAATCATATATTCTATTTTTATATCCATTTAGTCATTGCATTGAAACATGGGACGATGAAACATATTACACAAATACCTATGTTAGAGTATGAGTGAGATACCTTTTACTGACTGAGAAACAATGTTTGTAATTTTGTAAAACATTAAATGGCTTATGACTTTCCTCAAGATTGAATTATACTGATTACTAATTGAGCACTATATCTACTCAGTTGCACATACAATCCATACAGCATTCCTTAATCAGTTCAATAGTAAAATATTGGATTACTTTTCAATAGCTGACATAACTCTTACTTCTCAGACATCCTATGGCAAGACGGAAGAGTTTTTTCTATTCGCCACGATCTTGGATGCCTCCATGATAGATAAGAAACTTGGTGACAAACCGATCTTCTTTGAGCTCAGTATCGGCAATGCGGGAAACACATTGGACGGCCACAACGAAACTACTCAAGAACCTTCAGATTCGGACAGTGACGACAACTTAGGTGAGCGTAATGTTGGATATAGCTTTGTAACTATTAAGGCAAATTTTATCCAAAATATTATTTGATCATATTAGAAAATGATTTGTTTTTACAAGTGGGTCTTCAGCTAAAGACATTACCAAATAGCTACAAATAAGTAGATGATTTGTGGTTTTTAAAATCCTGGAGTTCAGAGTTCCATGATAATCTAGACCAGTAGATCATTAACCATAGTAGGGCTCAGGCCTTCTGTATGCATGTGGCACACCAAGGGCCCGAGAAATATTTGCGCTCCCTTCCCCCTTCCTTGCAAGGTATTTTTTTCTTCCTAACCTCCTAACCAAACCTAAAACCTCTAGCGGGAGTCTTGATTTACTAAAATGGCCATGGTAGAGCAGATATAAGGCTCATCAGTCATACAAGCTTGAACTATAAGCCATATTTGAATTATACACAGTTTCTTATCTGACTATATCTATGTGTCTATATTTCAGAGGTAGTCACCTCAGAGTCCATCTCCTGGCAGAGTACGACTCACCCCATCAAACCCATGACCCACGACAGAGTCTACTACTTCCTACCCTACTGGGACGACAAACCTTGCATGCATGTGAGGTCTCTGTGGCCGGACTACAGACGACGCATGTACAACTCCAACATCATCAACAAGATTGTGGATAAACTGGTAATGTAGTGTACAAGTTGTAAACTGATGATTTTTTTAAAGTCCTGTAAAGTATAAACGATGGAGTTGGAAATGCTTTATCGTGAAATGTGTTATATGGTTTTAAAGAATTGAATAAACATTTCTCAGCGTCCATTTCTATGTTGCAAAACATTTATGTATATTATTATTACCAATTAATATGGGGATGCTACTGAACCATCAAAAAAGCTACTGTCTTTTGACTTTTCTAAGGATTGAACTTATTTCACAGGAAGAAGGTTTGTCGGAGGTCCAGTCCCTGGTAGAAGGTGAGGACGGGGCAGCAGAGAGACAGTTACGTAATGTCCTCGAGGAGCTCAGTAGTGGTTGTGCCAGGTACATCAGCATCACACGAGGGGCTGGCAGCGGACCCGGTCTCGGCAAGACAAAACTGGACAAGGAACGGATGAAGTTGTGCCAGAGAGATGTTGTGAGCTCATTTTTCTTGGTCATAAAATATTATATTATCTTGATTCAATTGGTTAATAGCTTGGCCTGCTATTTTTTAAAAGATTAAAATTATCATACAGCGTTTAAGGTAGTATGGCAAGTTTGTAATGGTCTGTAAAATGTGGTCTGGTTGAGTGTTGTGTGGTTTGTTTGGTGAGTCGGTGTATTTTTATGATGGAGCAATCTTTATTACTTTGAATTGTTTAAAATGTTAAACGTCTTTGTCATAAGTAATCACAAAGTTATTGTTGTGGAAGATTTGAATTTTTATCTACCGGTTTAACATTTAGAATTTTCAGGAACACATTGGGAATATGGCTCGCAATCTGAAGGCTTTGGTCACAAAACATTCATTCAAAGACAGATACAAAACAGCACAGACTTATCTTCAAAAGATGAAATTTCTAGTAGAAGATGTAAGTATTGGTAATCTTACATACTTGTCTGTGATAAATTTATCCACGCAAAAAAGTTTTCTATCATTACTAATGATTTTTTAAATGAGAAGTAAAGATTTCTCAAAGAAAGACATAAGGTAAGATTAGTCCATTTATTGAACTTCTAGCCCATTTTGTATGCTCACCAGTTTTTTAACTTATTGAGAACTTCACTTTTTTTCTTTAGTTTTGTTTTTAGCCTACAAGTGGATTTTTAAGGTTAAACATTGTAGCTAGGCCTATTAGTACTTATGTGAAGTTAGAGAGGGGGGAGGTATTTGCTCGAATATGAAAACCCATAGTTTAATCAATGAAGTAATCCTTATGACTTCTGTATTAAACTGTGTAGGTTGGACAATTTAAAACTCTCGTGTGTCAAAGTCTTAAAGTCACCCATCTTCAGGGCAATGTGGACACTGTTCATCTACAGTACTACTACTTCTTACTGAAGGGGCCGGACGTGGTTGGAGGTTATAGTTATTCCAGAAGGTCTTGGAACTACTTGATAGCCATACTTTTCATGGGTGTCGATGACTGTGAGATGGATGTGTCTGAGACTTTGACATTTTATATTGCTCAGACTTCGTTATACATCCCAGAAGTCACAATGGATTTCGTGGTTGGAGAGCTCCCGCGGGACTCACTAATAGTTGTTGTTTCTCTACAGCCGCAACACTCTCTGCCAGATGTGTTTATCTGGGTGATCAGCAACAACAAGCGCATCGCCTACCAGAGGATCCCAGCCAGAGACATGGTCTACTCCATAGTGGACGAGGAGTCCGGCAGACATTGCGGCAAGGTGTTTACGGTGTTCCTCAAGGTACAGCATCGATTGTTTGGGATTTAAAAATTCTTTAGTAAAATCTTTAGTTTTGTGTCCTTGCATTCTTTTAACTATCAACAATAAGACTTAAGTCACTCTCAAGCCCTTCTGGTGTTTTACGTACATTCATTAACATGACCGAATACTTATCTAAGTAGAAATTTATTATTCATTGTGACCCTTGGTTGGAATGTATTATTGATAAAATAAAATGATTACCTTATCCAACCAGAGTTGTTGGTATGACATCTAATGGTAGTCATTTTAAATTATCAGACTCATTTCCAGTCAAATATTATATTTGATATATATATTGACAAGTTACAAACCAAAGTAGTATAAAATATGAAGAACAATAGAAACTGAAATACAGGTGGCACTGGAGAGAAGAAGAAACATCATTATTCAGTCAGTTTTATTTGTTCAGTGGCAGTGATAAGACAGTGATGGCCAACCTGTACAGTCTTTTGTAAGTTTGATTAATTTTTATTCCATTTTAATTATTTTATCAACATGATAAGTTTAAATTATTGTGATTGTGACAGTCTTAAAAAAAATCTATTGATGATGTGGTTGCATACAAAATGACCTGAAAACGAAACTAGTCGTCATACCAACAACTGTGGTTGGATAATGTAATCATTATATTTCATCAACAGAAATTTGTATTTTTTTTTAAGTTGGGTATCAAATATGCGTGGTGAGTCATGTAATATTAACCTGATGTGAAAAGCAAACTGAATCTATGAAAACTTTCATAACAATCCAGTTTTTTTTACTGTAGTCCGAAGAGTTGCAAATAAACAATCCTTTACCATACACAAACCCTTGTGCAAAAGGTTTCTACTACTAATCGAAAATTACAGTTGCCAGGCAAAAAAGGTGTCGGTCCGAGTGGGTGGGCGATTCAGTGCAAGCTGCAGATCTACATGTGGCTCGGGCTGGTGAAGCACAAGAAGAACTTTGTCAACGGTCTCACCAAGGGATACGAGGTATCTCATGAAATCCGCAACGCTGAGAGACCTCGGGCGATGCCGCCTTCTGTCATACACTACACCAGCAAGTTTGTGAGTGAATTCTGAGACTTGTCAAATGTTACACAATCTATTTAGTTGATTCTAGGCAAATCAATAAGTTAGGTTCATGGCAAAATGACTGAGAGATTCTTTATTGAAAAATTCCTATAGAACAATTATGCGCCAGTTAGAAGTTTGTTTTTTAATATGGCTCGTTGTTCAAATGTTCAGGAGCAATTCAGATATTAATCTTCTATCTATCTATACTATTATAAAAAAGAGGTGGTTGCTGTATGTGTGTATGTGTGTATGGGAAAAGTAAACTCGAAAAATACTGGTCGGATTGGGCTGAAATTTGGCATGATGATAGCTCACATTCCCGAATAACATATAGGCATATTCTTATTTCAGTAAATAAGAAACTTTTTTTGGTAACTGCAATACTCAAGACTTTCTTTTTATGCACAGAAAAAATCCCGTCCCGTCCCGTCCCGAAAATCGGGAAGGAAATAAAAATCCCGTCCCGAACTAAAAATTCAATCCCGTCCATCATCAGTATTAATTTGTTTAAAACTGTTCTTCAAAATGTTTTTAACAAAAATTTTTGTAAAGTTAGAAAAGAAGTCATGCTACTCCTTTTCCTCTTGTTCCTTCCAAAAAACTAGCCATGTGCCCTGATCTTGAAGGCTACTACCGTATTTCACATAAGCTACTTCAATATTGTTTGTTTTAGTCGTTTCAACTGAGAGCGTACATGTACCAAGCCAGATCTCTGATTGGTTCAGACGCGTCCGGACTGTCAGATCCGTTTGCTAGAGTCATCATCGGAGAGTATTGCAAAACCACGCAGGTAAATTTGCATTTGCATTTTGAATACCAGATTGTGTTTAATATTTATTCTCCTTGAAAAAGGGAACCTTCCTCTTATGTTAAATATATATAATACCTAGACACGTACAGGCAACCCATGTTTGTGTCCTTTTTTCCTTTTTAAGATTATTAATTTTTAGGTACAAGGTAAAATTTGTGATTGTGTTACTGTGCAATCTATGATTGTGGAAGTAACTTTGATTTTATTTACCCATTCTGTGTAGGTGATAGATGAAACTTTAAGCCCTACGTGGGACGAGCTGCTAGTATTTGATGAGATTTTAATATACGGAACGAGAGAAGAAATAAAAAACGATCCACCGACAATCATCATCGAGATATTCGACCAGGATAAAGTGGTATGTATAGATTATAACTAAGCTACAACCAATGTCTTGATCCTCATGATTTAGTCTCCCTGGTGTTTGGTAAAGATACCTTGTAGATTGTATTTAGGTTTACAACAAATATTTTTAATTTAAAAGTTTTTAATGAAAGAAATTTTTAAGAAAACAATAGCTATGCTTTTTATAATCATCCCCATAACATCTATAACATGGAGTGTTAAAAACATAAATGAAATTATTATTTTAAGTAGAATTTATAGCATAGAAATAAAAACTGTACCACAACTGCATACAATGCATCAGTGTGTTAAATTTCAAAATACATAATGGCAATGTAATATTTTATTTAATAATAATGTATTCATATTATTTGTTTTCCTAAGTACTAAGCCCTATAGGAGCATACCAAACAAAAAGCACAGATTAAAATGTGTCAAACCCTTTTTATTTTGTTCTAGAAAAACTTAAGTTTAGACTACGCAAATATTCAGGTAACTCATTGTTCTAACAAACTCATTGCACCTGATTTGATTTCCTAACACGTTTTCTCTTCTGCGTTACACTAGTTTCATCTTATAGATTCTTCAATAGTCTGTTCCGTATAAGACAGCACATTTAAACTGTTCCAGATAATAACACCTGTTATGGTGAAATTATAGAGGTATTTTAAATAGGACATAGAACTAATATACAATTGCATATACCCTTGTAGTGAGAGAATTTAGGAAAGTAATTTAACCATGTAGGTTTTTGGATGGTAATTAGATCCTTAAGTTTAGAAAATAAAGTCGGTATATTTTAAATTAGCCTGATGGTGCCTGTTTTTCTTTGATATATCACATCTTTGCTTGATTATTTAATATTTTTTCACACTAATGGTAAAAATCTGTCCCAGAAGGCTCAAAAACACATTGCTAATGAACAGTGAAAAATGTTGCTAAATATTATACACCACAACATTTGTTGCTAGTGATCATGATTCTGGTATTAAGCATTTTGTGCTCAGTCAGTCATACTTTCCATGTCGTTAACATTGAAAAACACAAAATTTTTCAATATCACCTGTTATTACACTTTTTTATGTGTACTAGAAGCCATTGTAAAGGCTTCTTCCCACCAGCTTTGAATTATTTAGTTTCAAAGTTTCTCAGTTAGGTACCTTAAATAAGCTAAATATCGATTTTTGTTTACCATTGTCTTTTAAGCAATTGAGTTTTCCCATGTTGGCAAAACCACTGGCATTCTGAGCTGATGTAGCCACTCGACAAATTAAGACAGCCAAAATAGTTTTCCCGATTATTAACAGCTATGGTGTTTTCACTACCATTTCTGTTGATTCTCACTCTATGCATCTTTTAAAATATGGAATTGAATTGAATAGTGCCCCGAGCAAACTTAGTCCGTACGATATTTCAAATAATTCCTCCACTCCAGTAACATGAGTAATAATTATTTGAAACTTGTCATTCCCCTCGACTGCAGGGCAAGTCTGAGTTCATTGGCAGAGCGTTGGCCAAGCCTCACGTCAAGCTGCTGGAAGAACCTTACGAAAAACCGGACTTTCCTCCAAGTCTAGAATGGTACGAGATACACCGAGGGCCTGAAAGAGCCGGGGAATTGCTGGCGACGTTCGAGTTGCTGCAGGTAAGAACTAGGGGTCTGCGGGTCCCCGATTTTTTCGGGTCGGGTCGGGCCAGCGGAAGGCCCGAGAGACCGGGTCGGGTCAGAGATTTGTTCGGGCCAAGATCGGGTCGGGCCAAAAAAAAAAAAATTATTAGGCTATTTTCAAAGTTATAATAAGTAATTTTCAAAGAAACACTCTTTATATATATTATTACAGAGGAATTAAAATGTTAAAATTAGAATTAAATATTAAGTTTGCTCACGTTTAAGAACAAAGACACAGCAGAGCAATTATTGCCTTACTGTCACTAGCCAGAGCCAGTCGTCTACTGACAAAACAAAAGCCGTGACGCAACAGTGCAAAGAAAACAAAGTCAAAAGAAAGACTATTTATCCAGAGGTACCAGTTTAATTATTTATTGTTTATTCCATACCTAGTTTAAATTATATTTTTAGTATTTTATTTACATAATAAATTATAAACAAAAGAAATATCTGATATTGTGTACAGATCTGTATCTTGTTCTTTTATTTTCCTATTGTCCTTTTTGTCATTCAGTAACAAAACAAAACAACACTTCTGAACGTCTGGTTCGGCATTTTATGGTCACCATTTCATTTTTTTTTTTTTAAGTATCAAGTATCAACAAGTCTACAAAGAGGTTAGGCCTAAATATTTTATAATTTTATGAAAGTTTTCATCAGTAAAATTATTTTTTTCTTAAGTTAGATTGAGTTTCAAAAAAGATATTTCTAAGATCCAATACAATATTTACAAGACACAAACTAGGTACCATGAATTAATTTCTTTGGAAATTATCTGTAACAGTTTTATATTTTTGAATAAAGAAAATATATCTTTTTGTCTCTACTTCCTTGTTTCGTTACTTGCATTTTGTCTGCAAATGGAACAACCTGGTGGTGTAATAGGGGCGGGGAGGGGGAGGGTCTATGACCTTGAGTGTCCCCGGGCCTGGCTTGGGTTGTGTAAGATGGGAGGGGAGGGGAGGGGGAGGGTCTGTAACCTTGAGTGTCCCGGCCCGGCTGTGAGTGATTCATGGTTTTTTGTTTACATTCTACTACCCTTCCTTCCGAGAAAAAGACCCTACAGTTTCAAAAACATTGACTTACAGTATAAAAACATTGAGTTGTGTTGCTAATTAGGGCACTATAATGTCTCTGCTGTCTGCTTATGTTGCCAAATTAGCATTTAACTTTCTTTTCTCTTGATTTAATATAATTTTCTATAATTATATTAAGAGTTCCTTTTCGGGTACCTAATAATTGTGATATTGTTTGACTTGAGTTTATGGATTTTTAATTCTTTTCATTTATTAGCTAAAATCAGTTGTTTTAGGATTTTAATCTCTTGCAATACCTATAACTGTCCCTATAACTGTGTATCTATAACTGTGTATGACATGATATGCAATTTTTACATAACAGTCTTTACTATAACTATAGTATAGTTATAGTTCCTATAGTATAACTATAGTATAGTATTACTATACTATAGTATAGTATGGTATAGTTATAGTCTTTACTATAACTATACCATAAACAATGTATGTGTGTTATTTACTGTTTTAGAGTTTTATAGTAAATTAGTTTACACAATATCTTTTCTTCAATGAGTTCTCCACTTGTCATGTTTCTTAGTCTATTACTATTTTAGGCCCTATAAAAAATAATTCCTATGTAAAGCTGTAGGCCTACTAATGCCAATAATAGATAATTCCTTATTTATGATGATGTAACTAATAATGCTATTGTAAGTGTGAGGTTTTTGTACTTAGGAGGTTAGGAGGCAGGGAATGAATGATTCATATTGCATGGTGGAAACATAGAATTTTTATTTTCTTCTTGCTTGCAGTCTTGAAGCCAGTCCACAGGCTCTAAACTTGTGATAAGGTTAATTGATTTGTTTATGATCCTTTTATATTAAGTTCCATTACAAACTTGTTGTAATATAGCTGTTTAGATATTTCAACAGTTATGAAAATGGGAAAGAATGGCTTGATAAAACAAATTATTTTCTTCTTTCTTGCAGTTGAGGCAACTCCTAAGCTGTAAATAAGTTATGAACATGAAATAATATAAATAAATACAATCTTTTTCCATATGTTATTTTCAAGTAATCTTATAAACACAGATAGGAGTTAAAAAAATTAAAAAAATCCGGTAATTAATAATTTTTGGCCCGGCCCGATTTTGGCCCGAAACCCGAGGACCAAAATTATCGGCCCGACCCGACCCGACCCGAACCAAAAAAGTCTGACCCGCAGACCCCTAGTAAGAACTAATGAAGTTTGCTTGTTTCAGGGTTTATAGAACATTTCACATTTTGTAGACAAACAGGAAATTTTCCTTTGGTCATGTTGATTAGCTTAACATGATTTGTTATGTATATGCATTATCTACTTTTATGAGGAAGTACGTTTTCATAGTTTCGCTGTAAAATCAATAATGGAAATGCTTTATGTCATAAGATATACAAAGCACATTACACTATATTGTTTTTGTAGCCAAGTCGTTACAGTGCTCCCCTTAAAATTTAAAGGATGTAGGTTTAATTTTAAGCCAGGTTGATTCTGAACCCACATACAATTTTTTCTCATTGGCAATCAATTAATAATGCATAATGCTATCGAACAAAAGTTTGACGTTAAATAGTAACCATTTGGTTTCTTTACAAGCATTGTGACAAACAGCAGGAAAAGTTTTGTGTTTCTTGTGTTGAGGGCGGATGCTTATCTCATTTAGGTATAAAAAAGCCTACTATCCCAGCAAAAGAGGTTAAAAGGTTTGGTTTAACTTAGTTAGTGTATGTATGTATACGAGTATGCAACTATTACCATTTGTCACACACCTCTGTTTCTGAGGGCTGAGTTTATTTGGTACCGGTAGCTAATGTGTTACGGAGGTGATTCCGTAAATGTACACCTAGAACCACCTAGATCTCGGTCAACATGTTCCTTCTCTATCAGATGATTGACAATTTCAGATCGCCTCGTCGTCCAGAGACAGAGCTGAGTTACCCGAGCTGCCTCCACCCAAGGAGCTCTTCCACGTGTCACAACCCTCGGGTGACCCTGAACACGGACCTCTACTGCCTGTTCCTCGGGGCATCCGACCCACCCTGGCCAAGTACAGGTATTGATTGACTACAAATTAAGTACACTACATGATATTGGTTGATCAATTGATTGCTGGATTGATTGGTTGATTGATTTGATTGATTGATTGAGGGTGACACATCAGTGTGCATTGATGAAGGCAATGATGAATGAAAAGAAAGTTTTCCGTTATTAATTTAGTAACTGGCTAAATATTTTTCTATTTCGCAGGATAGAAGTTCTCTTCTGGGGTTTGCGGGACCTGAAGCGAGTGCATCTGATGACAGTGGACAAGCCGAGGGTGGATATAGAATGTGCTGGACACATCTTGTACTCCTCCGTCATACAGAACGCCAAGAAGAATCCCAACTTTGGAACTCCAGTGAAGTTTTTGGAACTAGTAAGTCCTGAGATATTGTTGTTCAATAATAATGAAGAATGTGGAGATTTTCAGTGTAAACCTCATTGTCAGTTACAGATTGCTGTTGGACATTTGGTTCTTACTTAGGAAGTGACATCCTTAGTCTTAACCTAGCCACTGATATTCCTCACTGATATCTCTAAACAATCCTGAAAATCTCCGTATATTCTAATGAAACCAGCAGTGAAAGTCTATGTATGAGGATATCTAAAGTGTTGGATGTATTTTGCACTCCTTCATCAAAGTTGAGATCGGGAAAGAATATATCCCAGCTTTGGTACTCAGGTCAAACTCCCTAGAACTGATAATTAAATGGAAACTATATTTTGTGGATATATTTGTGAGAACTACGATCTGCACTCTGCAGTTAAGGAAAAATAATGTAATGGGAATAACTTTGATATTCCTCCATCATTCAGACTGCTAAGAAATTTTCTAAGGGAGTTGTGATGCTAATGCTTAATTCTTTGCTTCACAATGGTACTGAAAATTATCATATTTACTGAAGATAGCTGTTGCCTTTTTGCAGGAGTTGCCCGAGCAAGAATTGTACCGGCCGCCGCTCACCATTCGCTGTGTTGATTGTCGCAGTTTTGGCCGCTTCACATTGGTCGGCACACACATGATCAACTCCATACACAAGTACATGTTCACGCCACTCACCAAGCGAGAGCGGGAAGCTGAGGAGAGGAAACGATCCTTGCAGCAGCTGCAAAGTAAGTTATGTTTACTTACCTAAGTTGTGTTGTTACTTAAGTAGATCCTAAAGTGTCTAGACCTGCATCCAAAATCCTCCGTTGCGTTTTTAGGACAGAATGTATCTTTACGTTTATTTTTCCAGGATCCAATGGGTCCAATGGGGTGATTGATTGATTCTGATTGATATCTGTAGCGGCTTATTGATGAGAAGAATGTGTCTCTTAGAATGTATAGCATTCATTGTGAATTTTCTTTATTAACTTCTTAAATTCTAAGTTATCTAAGGTTTTGTAACGAAACCATTAATAAGTCATAAACATAGAAGTAGTCATAATCTTAGTCAATAAATGAATTTTCTTTTCACGCAAGCTATGTTTTAGATGAGGAGGCCGGAGAGGCACAGACTACACAAAACACCCCTAACACCTTCACCCCCGGCAACCAACAAGTTGTGTTGAAGGAAAACGCTCCTCTGCTCAACAGGGATACCATAATGGTCAATTATGTAAGTTTAGACAAAACAAACTGAAAAAACTTTAAAAAAAATATAATGTTTAGACTTGGTTTACTTTTTTACAAAAAGTGAGATAAACATGAGGTCTATGGTCTGTCTGTCTCACTCAACATAACTATAATCGTGATTTCAGGGTACAAACCAAATTAGTGTGAAAGACATTAAGACTGAAACAAATAGAAAACGGAAACAGAGCGTTGAAGACTTTGACGACGACGATGAAAACAGAGACTGGTGGACAAAATATTTTGCATCTGTAGAGGCAATGATTGAGGTGAGTTGCTCGAACACTAAACAGATCAAAATGCTCTTTGATATTTAATAAAATCAACAGTACCAGTAAAACGAAGGGGAAATCGGGTAAAGACTTGTATTACTTGGTCAATATAAAAGTTATGTTGAACCCGAAGTTTGTTTCAATCCACTAACCCTTCTGTTTAACTATCTCATTGTTGGGTGGATGTTGGGCTTGCTCAATTGGTAGTCAAACAACAGCTGATCGATCCTGGGTTGGGCCGGTAGCTTTTATGGTTCAAAACTTAACCCAGTTGTCCTTGACCATTGGAATTTTAAATTGTCCTGGCTGATTTTAGTCAGTAACAAAGCTGTCATATTCAATCAACACTTAAACAATGATTCTTCACTCATCTTTGCCTTAAAATACCCTGTTTTGTTGGTATTGTATTGTTTAAATATAACTGTACAGTATGTTTTTAGGAAAGTAAAGAAAAGCGGAAAGAAAAACAGCTGCAGTTGACAAACGGTTCGCTGCCGATCCACGTGGAGTCGACACCGTCGCAAAACTCTCCTTCTGCCGACAATAAAGCTAACAAGGCAAAGTTGGGACAGAGTGCTGCGGCAAAGATTGTGGCAAAGTTGAGCCCGAAGAGTGTGCGGCGGAAAGTGGATAAGACAGCTAAAATGAAGGTCAGTGTGAATGATTTAAATCAATATTCAAGCTTGCTTTAAATTAAATATGCAAGGTGATTTGAAAATTTGTTACTTTGATTTTAAAAGTCTGACTGAACAAAGACTCAACTAAAAATTTAAAGTGTGTATTGGAAAAGTTTAAGTTACTGCTTTTGTTGCTAACAGACATAAAGATATAGCCAGAAGATGTTCTAAAATGCTCTGCAGAGCAAACAAATATAGTTTTACGCACCTAACTCTGAATCCCCTCAGTTGACCTTACGATGTTTTGCAGATATTTCCTAACGACTTGGAAGCGCAGCCAGTATTCAACGGGTTCAGTGAGTGGCTGCAAACATTTGAGCTTCTCCGAGGCAAGAAGACTGGAGACGATGTGGAAGATGAGAGCAGAGTAGTTGGAACTTTCAAGGTTTGATTTTAACTTGTGATTTTGTTGTGTACAACTCAAAAGTACCCTTATAGATTTTTTATCACAATGGATCAGCTGAGGACAACTAACAGTTTGACGTTTACTTATTTACCAACTTGTATCTTATTACTTATATCTTATTTTACCAACTCGGTTTCATCAAATACGACATTACATGCTTGGATTACAAATGTTTTAAAAATTCATTTGGTTCCGTGGGATTTACTTGATGCAAATACAAATCGAGTTTGACTCCCAACTTGAGTCGGGGGCAGACTCATTACTTGTTCTGACGATTATGCCCAATATGAACGATTATGGTACTTACAGGAAAACCCAATATATACACACCGAGTTTATGCTCGGAGAACACAGGACCTTGGTTAATCAAAATTGTATGTTCCGATATCTGATGAACAGATCAGTCAGATTGGATGTCTTCTGAATTTAGAGTAACCGATACTCAGATACCCAGTGTTTTATTAAAAATTTTTTGTTCTAATAGCCAAAGTTTATAAAATGTGTCTGCAGCCTTCTATATTTTTATTAGCAATTCATTTCCCTTTCCAGAATAAAAATTGATGACTCTTGACGAACAGTATCTTGAGAAACCAAACAAATTTTTAACACTTCAAATAGCTAATCAATTCTGTTTTTAGGGTGCCATCAAAGTGTACAAGTGGCCACTACCTAAAGACGTAGAAGACCATACTATCATGGGTCTAGACCCGCAGTACGGGTTCTTCCAGGGTTTACCCAACAACGATCCGATCCATGTGTTAGTCCGGGTCTACATAGTGAAGGCCAACGAACTACACCCGATGGACCTCAACGGCAAGGCTGACCCGTACGTCGTGTTGCAGCTAGGGTCAAAGCGGGTCAGTGATAAGGAAAACTACATCTCGAAGCAGCTCAACCCGGTTTTTGGCAAGTGAGTAAATTAGACTTGTCTAATGAGAAGATGACTTAGTTGTGTTTTGTAGCAAAATTGACAATGAGCAATATTAATCAATATAAAGAGGTTGGTGACCTCTTTCAATTGAATTTGTATGTGGAACGTTATCAGCAAAGCAAGGGGTGAGCACAAGAGTAGCAGTGCTGCGGCTTCATTGACAATTCAGAGGCAGTCACCAGAACGGTAACCCACAACATCTCTGCTGTGGATTTGAGTAGTCTGTTACGCTACCAACTGAGCTCATCAGCCAATTGAGCTGTGTGATCAGCTGAAATTTGTATAAAAATAATTCAAATTTAATATTTCAATATTTTTGATTCAATTTTTCAAAAGATGTAAATTACAATCATTGCGTGATTGATTGCATTTGGTTTTTCAGAGGCCTGTTATTGCTAACCCAACCGTACGTCATTACCTAAATTGCCTACATTGTTATTTCAAAACCAATTAAGTTTTTATTTATATTTTTTTTTTAATCAGTCATCTTTTCTTCTTTCAGTTTTTTTTACTAGCACCACCGTTATAGATAACAAAGATACACTTAGAATAGTTGAATGGTTTAGTTTTTTTCTTAAAGGTGCTTTGAGATTGAGGCGACGTTTCCACAAGACTCATTGCTCACAGTGCAAGTTTTGGACTGGGATTTGGTCGGGTCGGACGATCTCATCGGTGAAACCAAGATTGACCTAGAGAACAGATTCTACAGTAGACACAGAGCCACTTGTGGCATTGCCAGCAAATATGAGGAGTAAGTAGGTGTGATTTTTTTACATCCCCCTCGCTAATGAGGTATTTTTCAAATACATATTATTCTTAAATGTCATGTTATTTTGATCCATAAAACCATTTTCCAGGGTTTAGCTGATTAATTACAGGACACCCAGTATACCTTTTCCTCTTTTCTTCAAATGCGACTATTCTTAGTCACATTTCTTTACATTTTTTTAGACAATGACAAAACAGCGTACCTAAGGTGAATGTGACACAAAAAATGAGTAGGGGGTGGGATAGCTGAATGATGTAGATGCGAATGAAATGTTTCCTTTTGAACGCAAACTGATATTTATTATTTGTATACTGAATATCACTCTTTTCCTAAAAAAATTTCCTCCATCAATTGTCCTCGTTCATCAATCACTATTTTTCCCAATGCAGCTATGGCTACAACAGATGGAGAGACCCAATGAAGCCCACCCAGATACTGGCGAAGCTGTGTAAAGATGGAAAGATGGACGCTCCGGCGTACTCGCCTGGAAAAGTCAAGGTCGGAAGAAGAACCTTTTGCTTACAAAACACCGAGGACTCTCCGGACTGGTACAACATCAAAGGTTAGCGGAGAATTCAAATAGCTAGGGTGTCTGGGAGCCACTGAAATGGTGATTACTAGAGAACTATAAAAGTCATAATGAATTTTTAATGATTTTTTTAGTATACCAAAGAAATTGTAATTGGATTACAGAAATTTTAAAAGCAAAAAAGCATTTGATTGATTATCACTATTATCAGTAATTAGAAATAATAAACAACTATGGAAAATTAAATATTTTTTTTTAAGCTGTGTAATTTACTCAAATGTACATATATAAAATCTTTGTAACTTAGAGGTTTGAAAGGTTGTCTTATTAGCTATTATGAAAGATGAACTAGGCATATTATCATTCTTTACAGAAAAGATCACTGAGAATAAACACTGATTAATGGATACCTAACCAAATACCCTATTGTTTAACTTAAAACTCAAAGAAAACTTATTTAGTTTATGTTGATTTTACAGGAGTAGAGGAGCATATGGCCTTAGCAGTTCTGCACCACTGGCACGAGTTTCCCCGGATAGGTTGCACCCTGGTACCTGAACACATAGAAACCCGACCTCTCTACAACCCGGACAAACCTGGGATAGAACAGGTAAAAACTGGAAACTTTCAGGGATTTGGTGTCTAAATATGTTGAAAACAGCATGTTCAAAAGATTAGATTTATTGTGGTTGTCATATTCAACACCTGCATTGTTTGATTTTATTTTTTATTTTTAGTTTATTGTGTTTGAGTTTGATGCTAGGAAATCAATGGCTGAGTAGCTGGGTGTTACTAAAGCTTGTCCAATAGTCAAAGTTTAAGCCACAAGAATAATTAGTCTTAATAGGTTTGTAGGGTTAATCTGTGCCTAACTGTCTTAAATAATTAGGGTTTTCGTTCAAGTACTATTCCCCATTTTTTATTATTTATTGAGATATTGTATTGAGGTAAATAAAACTATTGAGAACAATAAAAGCTACCTATAACTTTAGAAGAATACTGAGAGAAAAGCTGAACACTTTTCCTATACTTCTGTATAAAAACACATGATTTTTTAGATTAGGTTCGTTAGCTTTGCTACTAAGCCCAGCTGTTCTTTGACATATAGCAGCTGTTTAAAAAGCCCAATAATCAAGTACAGCTATGCACAGTTTCAAACCATAAAAAACATGGACTTTTCTCAGGATTGAATTAGAAACCTCAGAACCGACCCAACTTTGCATCCAACCAGCAATTGAGATTTTAAGACGAGAACTATTACCACCCAGCTACCCACACAATTCAGTTTAGACTTAGCAGGTTATGCTTCTCAAAATAATTTCAACAGTTAAAATTACAACTTAACATTTAATCTGACACTCGTTGATAGAACAATTATTGACAAGCAGATCATAAAGATATCACCACAAATGTTTCTACTAGCCAGTGTGGTGGGACTAGCGTTGTCCTCAGTTTTCAGCTTAGTAACAGAACATCCGTTTGTCGAGCTAGACAACAAACTTCACGAGGAGATGGTCGCCCCTAGTCTAGAGGCAGAAAACACGTTCAAAATGCTTCTCAAATACTACCTGGAGATGTATGAGATGTACAGATCACTTAGATCAGCCAATGACAGCTACCTTCCCATGGTTGAGGAGCTGAAGAGACAGGGTGGTCCACAACTTACTACGGTGTTTGTGGACGGCAAGACATTTCATTACGACCAAGTCCACACGGACTTGCTCAGACAGTATTTGGACACTGTGGATCAGTTCTGGACTATGATTGTGAATCGGGCGAATATTGTCGCGGAACAGTTGAAGCTGTGATGTGGAGTTTTAGAATTTGTGATGTTTATTTTTATTTTATAATGTGATACAACTGGTTTTTAAATATTTTGTACGTTGATATACCTGTGACCATGGTACATGTTGTATAGCAATTATTTGATTTTATTATAATAAAAATATTTTTACCATCATAAAAAATCTAAAATACAACAATTTAAACATAGTTTTTAAAATGTGCTGATATTCCACTATTTCTCTCTTTAATTTTGACAATTTCAAAAGACGCCTTAAACGTTTTGGAAACTTATATTTTCCTAGGAAATGTTGATTTTATAGTTATAACATTTCAAAAGGTATGTTTCTCATGGTGGTATGGTAAAAATAAAAGTTTAAAATAGTTACCTATTCCCCACAAACACAACAACACACTTTGTTCATTGAATACACTACTGAATAACTGTGTAGCTAAGTGGTAATAGTGTTTGTCTAGTTTTTTTAATACACTAGACTTAGTTCCACGCTAAGAAATGCTAGTAGATTTTCAACTGTTGGGAACAGAACCAAGCTGTTGATTGACTTTAAGCTTACAATAAATTGTCTTGGCTAAAGAAACAGCGCTAGTCTAAGTCAGTAACAAAGCTTAAACTAATCTCACTCCATTGTACAATAATTACACTTATCTTTCACAATGTTCAGGTTAAACTACACATATTCCCTCTCCCTGTCTCATATGGGATGATATGACAAAAGACAAAAAGACTGTTGTGGTACATTTTAATTAACTATAACAAAAACAGACAGAAATCTAAGAAAGTTATCAGTTTAATTGTGAATTTATTTACGGTGTTTTGTTTTGTTTTAAACTATCAGAAGAAATTTAATGTAAATCACAGTAAACATTTAACAAAAATATTAAATTTTAATTTTGGTAAAAAAATACTTCAGTTAATCATATTTTTTAGCTGTTTAATTTAGAATACTTACAATAAATTTATATCAAAACCACACACATAACAGTACCACTTTGTCAATACATTGTTCCGACACAAGTTACGGGACAGGTTCAAAACGAAAGTTTATATCCGGCGGATGGTCGTTTCTCTCCGGAGGTTCTCTGGAACATTTATCCAGATCTCGCCACAATGTTGAGATTCCCATCAGCGATCTCTTGATGTCCTGAACCTTATCATCGGGCCATTGAAGCACTTTCTGGACCTGAGTCCCGTTGATCGCAACTTTCAACAGTTTTAATCCTCCGGCGTCGTCCAAAGTGTTCATAGTATTCCAAGCCTTTTCCTTCTTATCTTTGAACTGTTGAGACACTTCCGTCAAAAGAAGGTGAAGATTCATGAGATCGCTCAGGATGCTTACTCCATCCGCAAACGACGGGTTGCTAAGCTTGACAGTGAGAATTTTGTCTAATTTAAGTATCGCATCACTCTCTTCACAGGTAGTGTTTTGTGCTAGTAAACTATTGGCGGATAGTAAGAGAATGAATATTATCATTGCCAATTGATCGATTTTTTATTGTGTTTCAAAAAGAAAATTGTTTGATGAAGTAATCGAATTAGAATTACAATATTGTTTTACTCTCAGTCTTTAAAAACCTAAATCAAATTAATTTAGTAATCTCTTGTGGGAAAAAATAGTGTAACTCTTATATTAAAACCGATTTACGTATAGTTATTTAAATTATTTTTATTTCATGTAGTCGTTTCGTCTTTTACTAAACAATATTTCGTACGGTGTCGGTTTGTCTTTCAAGTCTGCAATTATGCTATCATACACTGATTTTATGTCCTTGAGTAGATCGTTGAGATGGTCCACATTATCATCGTCCCAATTGTAAATTTTCTTTAGATTCTCTTGATCTATGTCAACTTTCAAAAACCTTGGTCCATCTTGCGACAAGAGTTCTTTTGCTAGCTGCACTCCCGTTGTCGAATTATTCAAAATTCCAGTGTGCAAGTCTTTTATGTTTTTCTCGTACTCGACTAAATTTCTCAACACATCTAGTTTCACCTCAAAAGAGACCTCTAGTGGTAATGGGTTTTTAAATTCTTTTGTCAAATCCTCGTCTAATTTGTTCAGTGGTGATGTTGCGAAATTGATTTCTTTCGGTTTCTTATCCTCCTCGGAATCGAATATCTTCTTCTCCGCTGAAAGGTCGGGTGGAGCGACAGACGCTTCTTCCTCAGGTTTTGCTTCTTCTTCACTACTGTGAAGTGTTGAAACGGGTGCAAACACCACAAGTGTAAACACTAGCACTATGTAAATGATATTCATTTTGTATCAGTGCTAGCGTACAATTACTTAATTTCTGATTAAAGTGATCAGCTGGATCAGATAAATGATAAGCAATCTGATAAGGAAATCTGATTTGACATCACACCATTACGTTTCAAGGTTGTCATTTGATACTCAATTTTTTTGTAAACATCATCATTAGTGATGTAAGAGATTAGATTTGAATCTATAAACTCTAAACAAGAGATAAATAATTAAGGCCACTTAAACAACTGCATTTGCATTTATTTTTTCAAACGTTAATTCATATTTTTGGTTAAAAGAATTACTATATTGCTGTCATAATACATTGCTTTACAACAATTATCCTACACTAGTAACTTTGAATGTTACAGATATGGTGATGAGGAAACAGCATGTTTATGCTTTCCGTTTACTTATTTTTTACCCCTTATACAACAAATTCTACGGATAAATATTTACCTCAATGCCTGTCCCAATCTCAATCAATAATATAACAATAGGACGGATAGATGACCAATAAAAGGTTAAATTACCTGTGTCCGCCGGTCGATCCTGTAGAATCCTATTGCAGGATATGCATTTCGGCGATGTTAAATCGCCATCATCAGTCCTTAATATAAGAGCTTGTACTTCCCCATTAGGTGCGTCTTAAGTAGTACAAGCTCTTATATTAAGGACTGATGATGGCGATTTAACATCGCCGAAATGCATATCCTGCAATAGGATTCTACAGGATCGACCGGCGGACACAGGTAATTTAACCTTTTATTGATTGTCAACCGATCCGGAACAACAAACAACATAAAATGAAGATAGATGACCCTATTGTTATACCTGTATGTTTTATGTAACATTCAAATGAAAGTTAATGCCTTTTCTGTTCTCAAAAGAGCTAAGTTTTTCCAATGTGTGAGGTTATGTCTATCGTGATAAGTTGGACCATACAAAAATGTCATACATTAAGTTATCTAACTTAACTGCCTGTTATAAATTAATACATTAGACAGTTTTTACCTTTTTGAGATGCAAGTTTGTAGGTCGTTATAGATTTACATAATAACTTTGCTGTCCAGGGTAAGGTTGAGATGTGGGTAGACATGTTCCCCATGGACATGCCTCTGCCAGGGCCTCCCCTGGACATCTCCCCGAGGAAGCCAAAAGCGTACGAGCTGAGGGTCATCATCTGGAATACTGATGAGGTCGTACTGGAGGACGACGCGTTCTTCACCGGAGAGAAAATGTCTGACATATACGTTAAAGGGTAAGGAAATGTCTTTTCTTTTATTTATTTTCAAAGGTGGAAAATGTTTGTTGTAATTGTTGAGGATAAGAAAAGTTTGCTACACATGTTATTTTGGTAAGAAAAAGTTTATTCTATGACAAAGGGTAAGACAATCCAATAATGTATGTGCCAGAAGTTGAGATGAAATGTTTGTGTTACCGTTAATGTTGAAAGTTAGACAATGTCTGGTAAATATGTCCAAGCCTGAGAATATGTCTGGTAAAATAGTATAAAGTTAGTATGTTAACAGGTAAAACCATTTCGGGTACATAAATGAAAAACTTACATTTATGAACATTTGTAAACGCACAAATGAATCTGGTTACTTAATACTTTATCTGGTATTTATGTCGAACTGTGAGGAAATACCTAATGTAGCCTATGCATCATAGAATGGAAGAAGTCCATAATATATGTATCAAAGGATATACATATGTACATATCCTAAAGGATGGGAAAATCACCAATACCGCCAAGTAATTATATGTTACTGCATGAACAGAGCACCCTCTTTTATATTACAAAATACTCTCTAACTGATTTAAATTTATACTCTTATTTATAAAAATGCTTTACTTAACTTCACAGAACTAACCGCAAAATATCCCTTCAAATCAAAAGGTGTTGTCGAAGTATTCATTCAGCATCGCTACTGTACTGTAACATAAAAAATACTTTTAAGAAACTTGTTCCACAGGTGGTTAAAAGGCCCTGAAGACTGCCAGTGCACCGACATCCACTACCGGTCCCTCACTGGGGAAGGAAACTTTAACTGGAGGTTTACGTTCCCGTTCGAATACCTAGTGGCCGAGGAGAAGATTGTCATCTCTCGCAAAGAGTCGCTCTTCAGTTGGGACGAGAGTGAGAGTAAGATCCCAGCGAGGTTGGAACTTCAAGTGTGGGACGCAGATCACTTCTCTGCAGACGACTTCTTAGGTAATCAGAGAGTTCTTATTTTGTAAGGATTGTTACATTAAAAGTTCGTCTAATGATGAGTGGGTTGGTTGAATCCTGAAAAGTCAGCTGCTTTTTGATTGTTGAAACTGGACACACTTAATTGTCCTTTGCTTGTGGAAATTAATAAATGGTACTATTAAAGAAACTGCTGCCCAGTTACAAAGCTAAACAAGGTATCTCTTTTTTTTGTTATCCTGTTTACTTTATAAAGTTGGTTGAACACACTTCTCTTGGAGAAATTGAAATTGGATTCCTCTATTAGTTTATGATACTTCGATAGTTGATTTGATATCAAACACTCAATTTTGTTTCGTAATTATTATCAAGAAGAACATTTGTAGCATAGGGTACAGATATAATTTATTTAGCAAATTATGTTGGTTGATAAAACTAACGTCCCAGTGACGTAGCCAGGGGGGGGGTCCTGGGGGTCCGGACCCCCCCCTTCCGATCCTAAATATAATATTTTTTTTGTTCAATTAAACGTAAAATTGTATAATAATACTGGATTGACGTTGGGGTTGATTATTTTCAATGCCAGGAGAGCTAAAAAATACTGTTTTAGGGCCTATATTTTCAAAATTTTCCCGAACCCCCTCCCCTCTTCTACCTGGGCCCGTTCGGTCGACCCCCCCTATTTTGAAATTCTGGCTACGTCACTGAACGTCCCTTTATTACTCAAATTACTACACATTTTATCTCAAGGCATCAATATAGTAGTTAAATAAAAAGTATAAGTTTAAGTGCTATTTCATGTTAAAAACACAGTTTTTAATATTATTTTGAGATTTGGAGCCCAAAGATTTGTCTAAAATTTTATGTTACAACAAACAAAATGTTAAAGTTACTTATTTTTGTGTATGGTCCCAAAATAAGACTACTATTCCCTATCCCTATCCATACAATCCTCTTTTGATAGTTTTTTAGTTTGTTCTTTGATTTTTTTTAAAGTTCATACAAAAAAAGAATATATGATCAAACTTATGAAGCTTTTCATTTAATAAAATAAATTCTTATAGGTACTTTTTTCTTTTGTCTAGAAGTGTGAACTGTTTCTAACACTCATTGTTGGTTTCAGGGGCAATAACTTTGGATCTAAACAGGTTCCCCAGAGGAGCCAAGTCCTCAAAGCTCTGCACACTGAGCATGCTAAAGACTGACGGAAGTGTTCCAATGGTGAATATATTCAAGCAGAAGAGGGTTAAGGGTTGGTGGCCTTTCTATGTGAAGAAGGAAAATGAAGAGATGGAACTGACAGTAAGTATTGTTTGTAATAAATAGTATTATTTGGGACTTATTGAGGAAAAAATACAGTTGGTATCGTGCAGAATTAATAGTAAATATATGTAATTTTTTAGATTGTTATCTTACGTTTTATAACTGGAATTATATTCGATTACCTTTTTTTGCCTGTGTTTTTGAGTAAGACAAATGCGTGTTTCCTTATGCATTTTGCCTGTTGAATGGCGTAAATGCCAACCCTCCCACTCCAAGAAAAGATACGAAGGAAGAAAAAACTCTCCACCGTATGTCCTTCATCAGGTTCTTTGCTATGACCCAACTACTGTTTGGAATTATAAAACAGTGCATAATTTATAGTAAAGTGTTAACTTTGAAGAAAAAACATAAATAATTAAGACACCTATATTGATATTACTTTAAAATAAATGAGGTAATAAGACACTCATAATACAACAATTGAGTGTATTTAATAACAATTTCAGGGAAAAGTGGAGGCTGAAATCCACCTGCTTACTCAAGAAGAGGCGGAGAAAAATCCAGCAGGGCAAGGCAGAAATGAACCAGACCCTCTAGATAAACCAAAGTGAGTTTAGACAGGAAAATATATTATATCTTTACATCTTTTTGGGTATATAAATAATTGTTCACTTGAAATAGAAGATCTTTTTGGGGACGCAACTGGACATATTTTTACCCAAATAGGAATTAACAACATGTGAACAATGGAATAATGTCTTGCCTAGCTTTATTACTGTGACTAAGACCACCTGTTTTGTTACCCAGTACCATTTATTAAGAGCCCAATTTGAAAATAACTCGGTCTGGTTGAAAAAAAACTCTAATTTTTTTAAGATTGAATGGGCAACCTTTCTAATTGCCCGCGAGCACTAAAACCATCCAACTCCCCATCCAATACTAATCAAGATTTAGTGATTTACAAATTAATATTTTATCTTCCATTTTTACTTTTTAAATAAAACGTAAATTTACTCAACGTTTGTTTCCAGTCGTCCCGATGCTTCATTCATGTGGTTCCTCAACCCCCTCAAGTCCATCCGCTACATCGTCTGGCACAACTACAAGTGGCGGATCCTCAAAATGCTCATCGTCATGGCTCTCTTCTTCATGTTCTTCCTCTTCTTCTACTCTCTTCCCGGATACACTGTCAAGAAGATGCTGGGAGCGTAATCCGTCGTCCGCTTGTCTGGAGACCAACGTTCAGCAATGTCTATCCCAGCAATAATCCTCGGCAAATAAGTAGTTTTATTGATCAATCATGATGAGTTTTATCGATAGATTAAGTAGACATCCCATTCCAACGTTAAGGGTTGTGGTCGGTATTAAAATTAAAATTGTCTAATTGATTTGAGCGACCGACAGAAAGTGCATAGCTCAGTTCTTTGTTTTTGTCTAGTAAGCTAAGGATCTTCCTAATCCTGATTCCACCAATACAAATCTAAAGTGAAAGGTCAAATTTGTAATCTATGTCGGATCTATGGGAGGAAACTAATTTTGCATTTACTACACTCTGTGGGTGGCTTTTTCAGCTATATTTTTTACTTGTATAAAAAATTGGCTACATCTGGTCCATAAAGGTTTTGTCTACTACAGTATCCAAAATTCAATGATTATATATTGAGAGCAGCTTCTGAAGTGGTTAAGCGGTGTTTACACGAAGCCAGTAGGCACTAGTCAGTCGTACCTTTAGGTAATTTTAAAAATACTGAGGCAGGTAACCTACCTTCTGTATTTGTGTAAACACCGCTTTAGAGCATGTTAATTCTGTCCTGATGTCCCAGATCCTAATCCAGCCAATCACACGTGGATTTAGCTTTGTGAAGAATAAAGTTCAAAATAATGTCAACGGCAGCAACTTTATCCAAATTTAATAGTTAAAATTAAACATTAACACTGAAATTAATTTAACGTTTTCTTCTTCATAAGTTGAGAAATAAAATTGAAGACACAATTTTTTTCTTGTTTGGCCGCTTGCAATTTAGTAAGGTAAAAAAGATGTTTTAAATTAAACTGCAGCACTACATTTCGACACTTCCATTCCACCATGAACTTTAGTCTCCAGTTATGTAGCTTTAGTCTAAAGTGTGAGAGCCTTTATGGCACCACGTTTTCCCTATTGAGGTCGATTTCATTAAATAATTTTGTTAAAAATTGTAGTCTATGCTAGATACCAGAGTCATATTGTATTCCATAGGGATTTGTTGTTGTGATAAATTAGAGTAAATCATATTTTATCAACTTCTAGATGCAAATTCCTGAATAGCTCATAATATAGATTACAACTTTTGTCTATGTGACAAACATATCAATATATTACAATCTATTTTCCAGAAATATATATTTAGATTAGTAACTGTTGTTGATATATATATTTTTTTATATTTGTTTCTTAAGCACCTAAAATACTTTATTGTTGAAAAAATTTAATATGATTCAGGATTCGGGTTTAAGCTCTAAAATCGGTTTATAAGTTTTTTTATTAACTTTATAACTTTATCAAAATTAAACCTAATTAGTTTTTGGGTCTGATTAAAAGAATTTTGTAATGATTGATTTGTACAGTTGAACATTAAAGGAATTTGTATCTAAGGATTTATTTACGAGTTTATACACTTTGGAAATTAGGGGGGAATTAATTATTTATATATTATATAACTGTAAGCTTACAAAGCATTTAAGCACAATATGCTAAGTAAGTTTGTGTAGTGGTTTAAAAAAATCTTTTTATGGACAAGCAGGGGAAAAATTATTGCATACATTTATTTTATCTTTTAACAGTTTTACTAAACACTATTTTGAATTTCAAGCCATATTTCTTACCGCAAGGGTTTATCTAAATTATTTATTTCCATTTTCGCAATGGAGTGTTTCACGACGGATTAAAAATATTGTAAATTAAAACAGTACCTGATGATTCTTTAACTACATTGAAAACTAAAAGCACTTGAAAGAAAGTCAGTGCTTATGAATAAATACTTTAAACCTAGCAGTAATTTTTTGAATAATTCCGAACGTAAAAATTTCATGTTTGTAGATTTAGATACACTATTAATTCGCTAGGTAGATCACATTAGGATTTGATTAACATTCCGTTGATTTTTCCACCACTAGACACTCTGAGTAGAGTTGATCTTATTCTACATTTTGAATCAAAATGTCTATTGAAAGCAATTTTAGATTTTTCTATCTTGTAAAAAGTTGTAAATGTGATTTGTTGGTGTTTTGTTACGATTTACAATGCATGCTGGGCGTGATTTGTGCTGGTCACTGAATTTTAAAGTTTTGTAGAAAATTTCTATAACATTAATGTGCGTACGTGTTGATTTTTTTAATTAAAATGAAAATATTTAAGAGATGGAGTTAAAAAGAGTGAATTTAAAGGTATGTTATTGCTTTGTAAATTAATTAAATGTTATCCAAGTTTTTAAATGAATTGTAGGTGAAGTTTTGAAGGTTGAGTTTGTGACTTGACTTAGTTTAGTCATCTGTTTATCCGGGAAACATAAAAAATACTCAAACACATTATTGTCCTAGAAAAAAAGTAAATTTTTGCAAGACTCAAAAAAATCTTTCCCTTGGTTGTCAAGTCTTATTTTGGTCCTGCTCAGAAGTTTAACTCATTTAAGTCATGTCATTACTTTTTTATGACAAATCAATGACACAGGCTTCTTATTAATGGCAAACTGAATTGGCTTGGATCTCAAGTCTTAGTATTTATATGAAAGGTGATACAAAAAATAACACAAAGAAGAGTCAGCAAGTTTTTTTTTATGTCACATACAACCAAAGTAAGCTTTTTCTGTTTGTGACAAACTTTTCTTTCATGTACAAGTCTCGGAGAGTGTGAGAGTATACAAACCAAACTAAGGGTGTTTCTGTAGTCAATTAAAATAGTTTGTGATTGTATGCAATTCTGAATTCTGGTAACATGAGTGGAATACTTAAAACAGATTTTACTTTCAACTATTTTTTTTAAGCCGTAGCTCATTTAGTATAATTGATCATGTCACTTTTCTGGTCTTAGTGGTCTGAAAGATCTTTGTTTATTTTATGTTTTCTTCAATATATATATTGTTTGGCCTTCAGATTAGGCTGAAAGGTGACACATCATTTTTGGAGACATTTTACGCTTTACATCAAAAATTTGTATTTGGTACCTTCAATGATTCTGATACATTCCATTTGGATACAAATTATTGTTAATTTGGCTCTTTTATGATGCATATTTACGATTTAAATCCATCCAGTTATTTTCCCAAACAAAAGAACATGGCATTGGAAAAATACTGTACCAGTAACTATAAAAGCAAAGTATATTTTTATTTTTTTTTTATAGTAATGTAATGAGTTTGATAGGTTATAAAGAAAGTTTCGTTTTATAAATTTTCTGTTTTCATATCAAATATGCATAAATAATATTGTATTTTCTGTAGAATAAAACATATTCATAAAAGTAAGCTCCTAACACCAACTGTATAAAGTGTTATCACTCGTCACAACTAAAAGTATTTATTTTACAAACTGTACTGTTTGTATATAATTCAAATTGCAAATAAATATTTTGTAAGAAAATTTGTGGATTTCATGTAGACCCTCGGATCTAATATTAGGAGATATTCTTTCGAATGAAAAATTAGGAACTGAAAGATCTTCAAAAATGGGATTGAATTTAACACTAAGATTACAAATATACAGACTTATAGTGGTATTCATTGGATTTTTTAAATGGATGAGATTTTGAAAACAATACCGTATTTTTTAATGTTTTTGAAAATCTCAGTATAAAAATTGTAGTTTGGTTCTCATTTTCTTTTTTATAAAAATCCATCTGGCCAGTTTTTGACCAAAAACATCTTTATACGCTGTATTCATATTGTTTGCCTCAATCAACATTAAGAAGTTACAGCTTATCAAAAAAAAAAAAAACAATTATAGAAAATGTGTTCTACACATCGTAATACAATAGTATAATTCAGTGATTTAATTGACATGAATTTCCAAAAATATTCATATTTATATTATATTCAAACATCTTATAATCTTATTGATTACCTTTCTGAAAGAAATCAAAAATATATTAAAGAACTATTCTTTGGTACTTTTACGGATTGAAATATTGTTGAAGGAAAAAATTTTATTTCAAATTAACTAAGTCAACATTTTAAATAATTAGGTGCTGTTTGACTATTAGGTTATGCAACTTTAAAAGGTTACAGAGGAAGTTTTGCCCTATCTTAAAGTTGGATTGCAAACCAACTCTGTTTATCTTCTCGATGATTAGAACTGGATCAAAGAACTGTTTGTGACTCAGTTGAAATGTATAAACCACCACAGATATTATCTGGAACTGTCGTTAGTGTTCTGTAGCAAACAAATGTGTGTGTAGTGAAAAATATTGTGTTCAAATTGTGAGGTAGATCTTTCTTAATTGTGATTGTTTTTCCAATAAGTGTTTTGGTACCGGTATATTGTGTCAAAAAATCAGAGAGTGTTTTTCTTGTTAAAATATTTTGATAACATTTTATTTTAAGCTTCTTATTTGGCTATTATTAATTTATTATAAATGTGGCATCCTGTTTTTAAATTGTGTTTGTGTTTATGAAGATGAGCTTTAACAAAATTTTTGTATAAGTAGGGCTAAACTCAAGACATGAACACAAACTAAATTTTGGCTTGGATGGGAACCATGTTGGGCGTCGTCCAATTTATATTAAATAATCCTTCCGTAAAATAAAAATTGCTAAGCGTATAACCTTACGTAAATCATAAAACAAACCACTTACATTTTATCTGTTCTGTACTAATAAAACTCAAAATTAAATAAATTGTCATTACTACATAGGTTACTTAACGGGGAAGAACTTAAATACATGTTTTGCTTTTTCCAAAGCAGGTTAGTCAAGGACAAAATACTTAAATGGATGCTTTACTTTTTGACCCAAGTACAAAAGTGCTCTCTTTAACCAAGAGTGTAATCCCAAGCGATGTTGACAGAGATGAAGTTCTTGTTAAAATTGTCTACGCGGGAATTTGCGGCTCCGATCTTCATATTCTTGACGTAAGTATATCGATCTGAAGGTCAAACACCTGTAGTAGTAATGTAATCTGATCTTGTTATATTAGCACTAAGCAGACCAATTAATTATGGTTTTGTACCTAAAAGGATCATTTTCAAGGGTGAACATAAAATAAAAATGTTAATGTCCTCTTCATCCCATGGTTCATGGGTTGTGTACAGTTGACATAAACACTTACAAAAACTCAAATACATGAAAAAAATGTTAGATAATAATTTGGTCATCAAATTATATTAGTGGTAGCATTGAGTGGTAGCAAGGGCTTAGTACCTATGGCAAATCGTGATTCATAACTCCTAAATATAAAATAGTATTGTAGAAGTATAATGTTATGATTTCACTGGTAGTTACATGTTTGAACCACTGAGATTTCTGCTTCCAGGGTTCGTTTCCATGTATGCAAAAACCTTTCACCCTTGGCCATGAGTTCTGCGGAGTGGTTTGCTTAAAGGGGAATGATGTAACACACGTTCACACTGGAGACAGGGTGGTTATAGATCCCAATAGGTAACTCTTAGTTTGTTCTCTGCATATAAAGAAACTAGCAGTACATTTTATGAACTGGTAAGTAAGCAGGACCGTAAAAACAGTTCTCTGTTAATCCAGGACAGGATTAAGCCCATGACCTACAATGCTGGCTCCTGTTGGCCATTCAGACATAATAGCTATGCTAAGGTGAGCTAAGCTATGATAAGATGTGCCTGGTGAACTACATTTAGTTCAAACATAGTCATTCTAAACTCATTTGTCATGAAAGTTTGGTTAAGTTTTGCTCAATTTTGCTCTATTTAGTTTTAAGTTATGATTTGGTTATATCATTCTCAATGGCTGATACATTGGCCTTTTGTGCTTAAAGTAACGATCATCATCATGAGAAATGGTTTAAAATTAAGTATCAACTGAATAATTTTCTTGTTTGAAGAATTCAATTGTATAAGAAATAAGAGACAAGTACAAGGATGACTGTCTATAAGGTCTCCATCAACCTTAAATTGCAGCCAAGCGCAATTCCAGTTCAAATCTGACTCCAAAAGTGTAATTCCTTCAGTGTCTCCTGCCAAAATTACACCTATCTTAGCATCTACCACCAAAACTGCAGCCTCCTCATCGTCTCCCACCAAAAAACGGCCCTCGAGTTTTTCCCAGCATTCCCCATCAACTGCAGCCCCCACAAAACAGCCTCATTATTGTCTCCAGCCGAAACTACGCCTGAATTAAGGGACTTTAATAAAGTTTGACGACACATTTTGAAAGTATATTTACAAGTATTTTGAGCTACTCTTTGTGTAGCCTATGTTTTTGTGATAGATTTTTCTAACTTGTGTTATGTTCTGTGTAGAGGATGCAGTGTTTGTGAGTTCTGCAGGAGAGGGCAATACAACCTGTGTGTCTCTGGAGGTATAGACTCTCTCATTGGTATCTTCACTGATGGGGGATGGGCCCAGTATTGTAAGGTCCCGGCTAGACAAGCTCACAAGATTCCAGACAACCTACCATTCCATTTAGGTAAGAGAAGCTAAGAGAGATCACAGAAACGTTATTTCCATTGCCACAAAGTTAGATCAGTTCCATTTTCTCAAAACGATACGAGTCAGTGTAGCTTTAACTGGATTGTGAAGATTTTTTCTTGGTTGGGGTGGGGGTAATCCTACATTTTTTGAGAATTTATGTCGAATTCGAGGAAGTTTTGTGATAAAAAATGTTAAAAGTTCATATAGTTAAGTATTTGAATTCATAAATCAGAAAAATTTTGGAAAGCCGTTTAAGGGTCTTCAATATGTCATTCCTTTCTTATTAGAAATCTCCATATTTCAAACTAATTAAATTTTCAACATTTTCTTTAATTTTAAAAACCGAATTCCAGCCATCCTGTGTGAGCCGCTATCCTGCGTAGTCCATGGTCTAGATCGCATCGCTCCTGTGTCCGTCGCTTCAAGGATACTGATATTGGGAGCTGGTATTATAGGTAACCTGTGGACGGCCGCCTTCCATCACCTCGGCTACCGAGATGTCATCGTCTGTGAACCTGTGGCTGACAGGAGGGCTCTAAACTCAAAACTCAGTAAGTGGTTTGAGAAATAGTGACTGATACGAGGAAAGTTACATCTGTGAATGTTTTAATGTCATTCCAAGTGGTTATTGTCTGGTAGTTATGTTTTCTGTAAAAATTGTGAAGAGCTATGATTTTGTAGTGATTGCTGAATTGATCATGTTGACAAAATCACTGTAGATCCTTATCTTACTGTGAGTGTCAAAACGAAAATGCTGATATAGCAAGAACAAACAACAATATTGCCGTCAAGGAATAGATGATAATTATGAGTTACAGGAACTAATCAAGAATCGCCGTGGTAATCAGGATGTTTCAACGATCATGAAACATTACTCAAGCAGATGTTGTCTTGTAACCCATCCATGGAGGAAATACTACGGTTTTCAAAGTCCAAGGGGATCTAGATATTTTTCTAACTATCTGCCATAAACACACACTTATACGACACATTCATGGAATAATTCCAGTACAGTTGTCAGAATATTGTAATCTATTACAGACACAGGTTACCCGTGCTACAGTCCAGACCAAATCCTCTCTCTCAAGTCGTCCGAGCCACACTGGGGCGTAGATGTGTGTGTAGATTGTAGTGGCAGTGGACGAGCCATGCAAGACGCCTTACCTCTGCTCCGCCCCGGTGGCAAACTTTGTATCTTCGGGGTCGCTTCTCCTGATACTACGATCACGTAAGTTACCAACGCTGGTTAGAACATTTCATCATTACTTGTGGGTAACGCCACCCAGGTTTCAATCAGAAAATGGTTAACTATTTCAGTGTATAACATTATGGCAGTTTATTTAGATTAATTCTCGCTAACAAATCAAAAACTAATTTTAAAATTATGATTTGTTGCAGGATCCATCCTTTTGAAATGTTCAGGAAGGAAACAACCATTTACGGAGTCGTTACTAACTTATTCAGTTTTGGAAACGCTCTAAAATTGATCGAAGCTATGGGCTCAAGGTTAGTAAAACTTCTTATTATTGCAAGATCATGAATCAGATATTTAGCAGAAAAGGACCGCAGCTAGTTTTTCCTCTCTTTTTTTAATGAATCATGCCTATTACAATAAGAAAGAAGTTTTAATGGAAGATACCACATCCACAATTTTAACATAAATCAACTACAGTTGTTTGGTATTTTATGGGCCGAACCCTCACAAAGGTAAAAAAATACAAATGGCGTAGAAAAACACCAAAAGTAAAAGTATTGTAAACTGGCCTAACTAACCTAATTCAAAACATTGGCTTTAAGCTGTCAATCAGCACTAATATTAAGGAGCTCTAAGGATTTGTGTTTGGTCAGACTAGGTTAATTTGATAAAATTTGGAACTACTTTATAAATGCACTCATGTTTTATTTTCCCCCGTCTACATGAATGTTTAGTGTGATCAGGCAATTAGCCCTTTCTCTCCGAACCTGAATGTTTAGTGTGATATGTGTGCATTATGGAAGGTAATTTCATAGCCGCTAATCTTTTACCCTTTTAATCCTTTTAATTCCTTTTAATCTTTACAGGTATTTGGACTTTGACACCCTTGGAATAAAAATATACTCTTTGGTGGAATACAAAGAAGCTATTCAAACACTCAAGAAGGGAACTATATCAAAGGCATTGTTTCAACTGCCTTCTTGATTACATGGATGCAGATTTATTAAATCTTAGATAGAAATGATTTCTTAAAACATTGCAACATTGTATTGTAACAAGAATAAGCACACTGGTCTCAAAGAACTGACTTTGAGTTTTTTTCTGTGCAAACCTGTCATTTCAGTGAAAATTGCTGTGAAATGTTGTCCCTTTGTACAGGTCATATGTTAATGGGGGGTAATATTTTTACGGACATCTCAAATGCGTTGATTTGGCTTGTGCAAAGGGCTGGAGGGGGGAGGTATGACTGATTGTGGTGAGACAAAACTATTTTTTATAATTTATTTTGTCCCTGCACATTTTATTGCGAGCCGAATAGTGTCACACATGTTGGCGATGTAGTAACTTATTTAGCTCCTTCACTGAAATTATGTCACAATTTATCCTTTTAGAGGCAGTTTGTAGAAACCATGAGTTGACTTCTGTACTGTTCAATTCTCTTTGTTTTAGCGAATTTCCCTATAGGGAAGTAGCTATTACCGTAGGTCTCATGGTAAGACTTAGGCCCGGGACCGATTTACTTTTTCATTTTGATGTCCCCAGAGGCCAAAAACACCATTCGTTCAAATTTTTATATATGTATATATATATATATATAGATTTATATATATATGTGTCCGTGAACACGATAACTTGAGTAATTTTTATCCGATTTTGATGAAATTTGGTTTGAAGGTGTAAGGCGGGATAAACTTGAATGAGTTCGCGATCCAGCATGATCGGACCATGGGAACAGGGTTTTATGGGGGGTTTTATGGGGTAAAAATTGGTTTTTCTCACTTTTGACCCTCAAAACAAAAAATTTCCCGATTTTTCTCTAAACCTTCTTAAAGAGCTTAAAAAAACAAACAATTCAGTATATCAAAGTGTTTTTGTACGGTTATTGGTTACGGAGAAAACAAAAAAAAATTGTAAATTTAAAATTCCCATGTTATTCTTATGGAGAATATTGTTTATGTTGTAGTTTGCTTGTTTATGGATATCTTTTGATCAAACTTGGCAAATGTATTCATTTTCTACTAAGCAATAATTATTTTACTTAAAATACACACTTTATTAGTTTCCTTGTAGCAGCAAACCTAGGTACTCATTAAACCTAATGTTATTTAAATAGATCGATTGAAAATCAATTCAGCCAAATGGAAATTCGCTTAGACGGCAGGTTTGCTGCGGCGGGGGTATTATTTATTAAGAATATAATGTTACACTTATAGTAAGTATATAAGTTTGGTGGATGAAAAAACTTAACTTTTGTTGAGGCCCTGATAAAAATCTTTGAGTATGTTTTGAAGTGTTTTCCGATCTAATTTTCTAAATACTAAAAATACAAGAAACTAAGCGAGTAAAATGATCAATTCTTTGAAACAACGACACACGCTTGGGTGGGTCTTTTTAGACGAATATTAATGCAAGATAGTGTAGAATGGAGTGTGATGATGAATTTATTAAAGCCTTATAACAGCTGGGACCAGTTTGAACCATAAAAACTACTGATTTTTCTCAGGATGAAAAAATCTCGATTCAAAAATATATTTTATTGTACATAAACATTTTAACAAAAGCTTTTAGTATATAACAAGCATAAAATGGAATAAAATAAAAACTACACCTAAACATTTTCAGTCTTGAGTAGAATACCACGATAAGTTTAACATAGCAGTGTAAATAACATAAAACAGGGTATTTAAATATAATTTATGATAAGTGTCTCAAAATGTAAGCATTGAAAATATGCATAGCAGAGGAACAGTTATACAAACTATAGACAGACAAAAAACTCTAATGGCAAATATTTATCATATTATTCACATATTTTTGTGTTTCCTCTATTATGCCTCTTTTTCAGTATTATAAGGCACTTTGAACTCCACTTATAGTATCTTTAACAAACTCTCAGGCCTTTACCACTGCTTTGCCAACATTTTCTCCTCTCAGCATGCCGATGAAGGCTTCAGGCATTTTTTTAAAACCTTCGGTCACCGTCTCTTTGTACTTCAATTCACCCTGTAAGCAAACAATAATTTATTTTTGAAAAACTGAAATTGATTTTTACACAAACAACACTAAAAATAAGGTTATAGGCCTAGTGCTCAAGAACTTGAAGGTTGCTAGTTTAAATGAGCTTTCCAAGAGCTTCGATTCTGGACCAAGTTGCCATCTATTTGTTACAAAACGGTTTAGATACCCAGGTATTAGTTGATCAATTTATTTATCATAGGTGCTAATTGAGGATCCTATCTTGCTTGCAGACGATAGTAACAAGGGTTTGGTTTGTTTCTTACAAAAAACATTAAAGCCAAGGGCTACTCGAAATTTTATCCACCTTGATACTAGGCCTACACATAACATTTATCTATACGGTTCTGCTATTTTTTTTGTAACATAGCGCTTCAGTTAGAATTTTGAATATTGGTTTATGACGACGATTTTGAGCTAACAACTATGGAGTTAAGACAGCTTATTAGTAAGTAGCCTAAATAATAATCCTTCAACAAAAAATTTCTAAACGTTTAGTGTATCTAAGTAGTATTCCTTGTCTTCAAACTTTAAAGAAACTGATTTGATTCTAATCTAAGAAATATAAATTTAAGACCAGTGGCAAATCATTAGTGTGTTCATGGTGGTGATTTTTGGTGTCAACCGTGTCGTCACATTTGTATTAACACTGTAGACGTTTTGCCCTTATAAGGTGGCACACTCAGTGGCTAAGCTGAGACAGAATCAAAGTGGGAAAAGAAATTTTTAGTTGGGTTTTTTTTTTTGTTGAACGTACCCTTCTAAACCTTTATAAAACGTCAAACACAAAAAATGCTTGAACAAATTTAACATTTTAAATTGTATACAAACCTCCTGCACCCATTTTAGATTCTGTAGGATGCCGGCCATGAACCGGTCGGCCCATCTGAGTACTACAAAACCCTCCATTTTCAGCTCATTCAATACCATCGCAGTCTGAACCACAGGGGCTGTAACACACACATGCAAAAGTAACTTTAACATGCAAACACTCAATGACCAACCTCTTTGACCCATTTCAGATTCTGAAGAACTCCTTCCATCCAGCGATGTGCCCAGCGCATTACGATAAAACCTTCCATTTTCAACTCATTCATCACCATGGCTGTCTGTATGACTGGTGCTGTAACATAGTGGTTAAATGTAAAACTCGGTAATAAAAGTGTGTAACACACAAGTAACCACTTACTGAAATATTCCGCCGGTGGAATCAGCAATAGAATTACAGTGCTTGGCATCTCACATTTGGAAAGCTGTGCGGTTTTGAAGTCCTTAAAACTTCTAGGTTGAAAGCCCAGTTCAAAAGCTCGAAGATTAAAATTCACGATTTTACTGCGATTATGAGAGATGTTCATAACTTGTCGCGATTGCTGGAGACAATAATGTTGTCTCCGCAATAATAATTTTTCCGCAGGAGATGTTAATGTACAGTAATAATAATGTAAAATTTTTTACAAAAACTGATAGTAGAATGACCATTATTAATATTTTTTGTATGAATACTTCGAAAGCAACTTGATTATGGCCTAAGAACCGATGGTCAACATTTTTTACCTCACCCGACTTGAAATAAAAGATTCCTAGGTAAATGATGACTGGTTTGGACATTTTCGCAGATTATTAGCGTAACCAACAAAAAAACTTTTGTAAATGTTAATTCATCCTGAGGTTAATCATGAGAAAAGTCAGTAGTTTTGATGGTTTATTGGTTGGTAACTGGGTCACTTGTTAATTAATCCTTGATCATAACGCTTTTTAATAACTGATCCTAGCTAATAAAACAGCTGATTTCAGTAAGTAACAAAGCGACACAGATCATCTCCATTCTATTTGTTGCTTTAATATTCAGCAGTGTGCACATAAAGTCACTCTAACCACTACACCTGCACCCCAGAACTACTTTAATCACCTTTGGCGAGGTTGCTGAAGTCATTGTTGTAAACAGAGATGGCTCCGCACACAGATATTCTGCCGTATTTGTTCATCTGGTAAAGAACTTGAGAGCTGATATCTCCTCCTACCTAATAACAACAATAATTGCATTACCTACCGCTAGACTTTTCTGCAAGCTATATCTATAGAGTGTACAAGTAGTCTTCGCTATAGCTGGTTTGTGCGATTATGGTGGGCCAAATAAAAAATTTGCAGAAGTGTTTGAGATTCTAGACTTGTTAACTGTGCAGCATGTTCGACACAAATTTTTTAACTTCCCTTCAAACTGATTATTTTCATAGTTCAAAATAACAAAATTGTGTTCAATTTATGAATATCTAGGACCCAATAAAAAAATCTAAGGTATGAATAAAATATACATTATCAAAGTAGCAATCAACTCCTTTTGGTGCCAGCTTTTTGAGTTCTGCAGAGACGTTTTGTGTTTTGTAGTTGATAGCCCCGTCGAACTTGAGCTCGTCTTTGAGCCAAGCAACCTTATCATCGGATCCAGCGATGCCAATCACTCGACAACCTAAAAGAAAAAGATAAAATCAAGAAACTGTTTCTAAAAATACTGAGTTGTTTGTAACTGCCAAATATGCAAGGTTTGCAACAGCCAATTGCTTGATGAAAAAGTAGGCTTTAAGGTTCCAGTATGGGAAATATCTTGGTTGAATTTGATGGTAAGGTAAACATCGTTTTCAAAAATATTAGTGACTAAAATATTCTGATTTGGATAGACTTTAGAATTCGTTGAATACAGAGATATATTTGCTATTTCCATAATTTATGGAAAAAAATATTGCATGACACTCATCCAAAATGTGTTTACCGTACAGATATCAATCGCCTCTTGTCTGTAAATACCTATTTACGAGAGTAGTTTTATAATATTGTGTTGACCTTTTATTTTAGCGATCTGTCCCACCAGACTGCCCACAGCCCCAGCAGCTCCGCTAACTACTACAGTCTCTCCCGCTACAGGCTTGCATATCTCAAGGAACCCAAAGTAGGCAGTGTTTCTGAAACATACAAACTATATCTCAACATCACCTTGGGTTTGAAAATTGGAATAAAGAGAAGACTAGTGTGGATTGGACACATAAAAGGGACGGAGGAGTGAAAAATTTAGCCTAACACATTGATGGAAAAAGAGGAGTTGGAAGACCAAAAGAGAACTGGGGAGACGTCAAGAGGACTACAGGATGAAAGGAAAACACATTGGATAAGATACGAAGCCGAGCCGGCACACCAGACAGTGTATTTTTTGTAGGCAAAGACGAGTGTTGAATAGGCCAGATAGAATTGTTGCTGATCAAGATCAGTTGTTTCCTTAGCCAGGACCTTTTATCAAAAGCCCAGTGATAAACATCTACACCTTTTGAATCATCAAAAAGCTATTGACTTAAGGGTTTGAGCCAGCAACCATCTTATTACAAGGAGAGCAACCCAGAACTCAAAATACCAACTCAACTAAGATAATGTTAGTCATTTCCCTTCCAAAAGAACCTGACAGGACTCTTTTTACAAAAATTCTCCCAAGAGTGTCATCTCACAATTTATTTGACATCAAACGTTTCACTTCTTCTGATGAATGTAACATACCCAGGCATGCCTAGAACTCCTAGGGCAAGGGAGGGGGACAGTCCACCCAGGTCAGGCAACACCATAGGCTTTTCCTTGGCACCAAAAACTGTAGTGATCTCTTCAGGATTGCCAACCGTGAATAGCTGCCAGCCGAGCTGACCTACTACGATGCTGCCAACCTTGTATTCTGGGTGTTTGCTCTCCACTACCCTGCAAACATATCACATTTAGTTGGATAGATAAAAACAGGCAAATCAATCTTGCTCTGTTTGCTTGCAGAGTAAATTTACTTTTTTATCTTATATATTTCTGGAAGGTTCAGTTGTTTTATAAACAAGTATAAGTCATAGACAGTCATTGACAATGTAGCTGCGTTTGCACGAGGCCAGTTAGCGGACAGGTTATTTGACTCTGGTAATTTTAATTTTAAAAACATTAAGGCGAGTAACCTGCCCCTTAACACGTTCGCTGCAGAGCGGTTGAATTCGGCCGGTGCCGGCTGCGTGCCAGGTGCTGCAAGGTCGTAGTCGGCATTTCCCATGATTTTACTTTGAACAGTCAGTGTGAGCTCAGCTTTTGACGCGGAATGTTAGAATCGTTGCTAGCCTATAGCTTAGAATGCGAGCTTTGTTTTGGTATAGGTTGGTATTAAAATTTCCTGTAAAATCCCGTCTGGCAATGCTTTTTTCCCGGTTTCGGGGATTTTCTCTCTTTTTTTGGGATTTGTCAGACTGAAATATTTGAAAGCCAATTGCGTTCGCTGATTCGGTTGCGCACCGGGGCTTCGTCCGGGCCTCGCCGCCATTGACGAGCGCCTGTTTCATGTATGCCACAATGAACGTTTTAACCTGCCTGCTCTACTTACCTCATGTAAATGTGGCTTTAGTCCTACCATTTTATGATGTACTGATCTATATATAAAGCCAAAAGGAGAAAACTACAAGTCACACCCGCATAAACCATATACTTAAAATGTTCGTCATGACGAGAAACCTTGCGCAAGACTATCCATTATTTCATAAATTGCCCTTTAAGGTTGTAATTCCTTTCTAAAGGGAACTTTCCATATACCCAATGTTAAAAATACCTCAGCTGTACTTATTTGTTTGTTATTCTTTCAATTTATTACCTTATTAAAATCAGGTGTGATTATTTGTTTGTTTTACTGTATTTTGTTTATTTCAGGTTAACTTAAGCAATCAATAGTTTTATGTTTTATTAATACTTATGAAGTCAAACGGGGCGAAGCCCGTGGGTAACAGCTAGTTTGTAATTCAATGGATAACCAACAACATGCTATATTGACATTCTTATTTGGCTTCAAACATGTACAAACCTTGCAACTTGACCTCCAAACATCGTAAAACCAGTTTTTCCACCCAGCTTGTTCACATAGGCCCTGTAAACAAATCAGAATTACATCAAAAGAACAATATAAGAGTAGAATTTATTTATAACGTTTCACTGCTTTAGCCTTTTTAACAACAGCATTTTTTTTTTAATAACGATAAGGTTGAAGCCCACAAAACCATCAAATTAATTCAAATTATCTTTATTCAGTTTATATATGATTTAAGTCAAAGCTATTATTTTTGTTTTGTTTGTAAGGCAGGCAAACTTCTTATGAATAAATTGCCGAAATACGAAGGCTTCATTTTTGAAAGTTCTAGCCGATGATGACTTTTAACAGTAAGATTTTCCCACGTGGTATTGTATTTATGGGATACTTCAGTGTTTTTATCTTTATAAGCATGTTGAATAGTTAAAAAAATATACTAACTAAGTTATACACTGTAAATATGTCCATTTCGTTAAAGTATAGTTTTACCGACTTCCATATATTTTTTGATAACTCTAGTGGCCTGTTTTGTAGTTAAACATCTTATTCAAATTTGTTTGTGCTGTCCTAACATAAATTTTGATTCCGTAGCCAATTTGACATTCTATAAGGGAGTGGTAGATGATTTTTAACACAGCTTTTTCACAGAGATAAGCACTTGAATTACGACACGCCTGAATTAATTTTGATGCCAACCAAATATTTAGTTGACCATTGTTGACTTTAGTAGCTTTTGTAACCTCTTAAACTTAACCATACGGTTTTAGAAAGATAACTCTATAATCATGTATTGTCTTTAGCACTCAAGCTGAGATTTGTAAAAAACAATCACATAAGATTCATTTATAAGTCGAGTATTTATTAAGCAATTTCAAATGACGTTGAGGTTTATTTTGTCGAGTGGCATTCACAGATAAAATCCTGCCAGTCACTCTAGCTCAAACAAGATAAATGTTATCTTTAAAGCTTTTCACTGTACAAACTGCTCTCTAATTAAAAGAGCAATGACCTGAACATTTACTGTTTAATGCTTAGCTATTATATAGAAAGGGGTATTCAAAATCTTGTAAATTTGTAAAAAAGGTTATTTAAGAGTCTACGAGGTACAATAAATATGATTAAGTAAACTAAGTAAACCGGCCACTCTTACAAAAAAGTCCATACTAAGCACTTGGCTAGCGAAGCAACACACCAAAACATTTTAGGTTTTTAAGCACTATAATAAATATACAGAGGAGAAACTTGGATGATAGCAATAAGTAGTTAATAGCAAAAGTCACCTCTCTAGGTTAATTAATATAACCTAAACTATTCCCTTTCAAAAACAGCAACTAGTAAAAAGAGTTGGCAAAATTGGTTTTAAATCATTTAGATTCAAGGTCACTAAACCTAAAGAACACAATAGTTTTTGTGTCTGGAAACTACCAAATAATTGTCATAATTATTAACGTGGTGAAAGTTACCCAGTAGAGTGTAATATGTAAAAGTGTTTCACTAATATTGTATAGCATTCCAAACAAGTTAAATCCCAAAACTTGTAATATTAAAAATATTTAAGTAATTCTTTGAGGCAATTGACAGGTTATATTTTTAAGTGAACTTAGAAGAAAATTTGAATAACTGAAAGAAAAAAATCCTAATCTCAAGAATGAAAGTCAGTTCATTTATTGACCTTTCTAAGTTATCATAAAGTGATTTCATCCCAAATAGTAAGAACTAGAGTTATACGAGACAGAAACAACACAGCCTTTTAACTTTAGTTTCTATCTATCTGTCACAAGAATCAGCTACACAAATTCTAAAAATCTCTGTGATTCCTCAAAAGAGCGCCTGTTAGTATTATTGATTACTACAAAATGCATAGGCTACTTTAAAAACAAATATACTTTAAAGTTATAACCAGTCAGAATAATATATGACTTTTTAAATAAAAAATTGCTGTTACAACTATGGAACTTTTAAAGGAGACCTAGGGAAACTAGATCTAAGATTTGAAGGGTGAACAACAAGTGAACAACAACAAGTGAAGTGAGTGGGTGAATGAACAAGTTTCAATTAGTTTTTTTTTTTTTTTTTACAATAAAAACATTACACATTAATGCCTACCGCAAAAGGTAAAAAATAAAAATTTACTCCAAATGTCAAAATTCAGAAGAAAATAAAAATGTTATCCAGAACTGAAAATCCAGTCATATAATCATAATTTACAATGTTCGACAAACAGATTATGGGGACTGTTTGATTAATATTTTTGAATACAGACTTGTGGACATCATTGGTCACAGGGTTTGAAGTTTGTAAACATGTTAGAAATAACATTGGCCAAGAACCACTTGCAAAAAATTAGTGGTCTAAAGTTTTTTAAATTCAATCTTTAATTCATTAACCAAACTTCTCTGTTAAATCCAACCCTCTCTTAGGACGATTGCATGCTGCTTTTGTGTGTTATGACAGTATACGGTAGATGTCAACACAGCCCCTTATGTCAACACCTCTGACAGTACTCGAAAGATACATGGTGTGTGGCCAGTGCCAGATTTAGGGTACCTGCGGCCCTAGGCCAAATTGATCGAGTGGCCCCATCCCAACAGGGGAAATTCCTGGCGATTCCATAAAAAAATCGTGAACATCCCCCGTGGGCAATCACGAAGATATCATCATTGACACCCACGACCGCGGTAAAATCATGAACAACTCCCGTGAGCGGAAATCATGGCGATATTATCAGCGTCACCCACCACAGTAGCAAAATCATGAAAATCTCCCGTGGGCCGCAATCGATGGGAACATCATTATTGTCACCCGCAATCTCAGCAATTTGATAATTTAAAAAAAAATTTTTCTCTGAATAAAGAAATTGTCAAGCATTTGCACCTTTAGCTTGCGGACCTAGGCCACGGCCTAGTTGTCCTATTGGTAAATCCGGCACTGTGTGTGGCTTCAGATGGGTGCACATACCAGTGTGGTGAATATAGAATATTGGGGGGGGGGGGGCAATATTAATAGGCCCCTATAATTTTAGGCTATAAGTCATCATAAGTACTAAAACACAGTCTACTTTATCTCAGTTTTGCCATCATCATTATTTTGGCTTGTCTTTTCATATTTTGGCCACCATATTTGAAAATACCGCAATTTTGACGAGTATCACACATGTTAGAACCTTTTTACTATGACTCACATCGTGGTGTGAACGGAATGCCCTATATAACTTTCCTTCTCTCTTCATCTCTTTCATTTGAGTGTTTTAGTAACAGTATTTTAAATTTGCTTATTCTTTAATTTGCGATTTTGGCACTCCATAACAAAATAATAACTTTTTGAGTTTAATGTCAATAACTCCCAATATTTTATATATTTTGTATTATATATGTATATATATGTAGGCTAGTATTATATATGTATGTTGTATTATATAGGCCTATGCAATATATTATATTTGTTGAGCCCAATATTTTAAGATTTGCCATAGTAAAAATTATTTGGTAGACCTAAAGTTATGATAGTTACCTCATGTAAGGATCAACACTCAGGTACAGGGCTTCAAACTTAACTTCTGCAACAAAAAAAGTTTGTTGGTTAAATTTGTATTTAGTAAGCACTAAAAAATACCTCTTATTCACTAATTTAACATCAAGCAGTTTAATCTCCAGTAGGCCTACACTTACAAGATACTAGGCCTAATTGTTTTGTAGGGGATTGAGATGGACATAAGATCTGTCAAAGTAAAAATAATGCTGAAATTAGGAATATCTTACATGATCGTGTAACTTAAAGGATAAGCCTATAACTTAAAAGGCAAAAGCTATAAAAAGAGCACAAGGTTTTTTTGCCAAATTGTTTTATGTGTTGGTGTTATTTAATTAACCTTTAGGCCTACACCTATTACCTTTACTGTTATTTTTTTTACATAGGTACTTGATTTACTACTGAGTAGCTAGCTTCCAAATCTGGAGATTGCTGATTTTATCGTAAGAGGGATTGATTCCAGGCAAAATTGCTAACTAACTGTGTTTTCCAGCAGCATGTGAAAGCTCGATAAAAATAAACTGGTAAAAACCGAACCAGGGTTTGGAGCATTCCATTGAATAGGTAGTTTATACTGACCTCCTTCTTTTACAGGAGGTACATCTTCTTCAACTAGTTCAAAGTCGGAAACTTTCGGTTCTCCCTTGAAGGAATGTGCGTAAACCCATCTCATGTTCTTTCCCATGTTGGAGAAGTTTGCAAACCTTGAACAAAATAAAAACAAACATCTGTCAATTTATTTTATTGTTAAGACTAACTATTTATGTTACTTAAATGAACTAAGTTAGGGCCAAAGTTTATTCTTTCTAAGAAAAAAAAAAAACACCAAGAAATAGTTTTAAACATTTTGTATAGGCCTAAGTTAGTTCAGTAGGCTACTATCTGCTCTATTTTCTTTTGATTATCTATTATTTAAACTGATTATGTTACCATACTTTTATAACAAATACTTCAAAGTGGGCTTATAAAATTTGTATATGTGCGATACAAAACCAACAGGGTCCAGGCCTATTAGGTAAGTTACTTAAAGCTTTGTTTCCAACATTGACGATAACCTAGCTCGAAGCCATCATCAATCAATTAGCTATTGTAAATGATGTCCATGGGGGGACTTTGGAGGCCAGGGATGTCTGTGCAGATTAGGCAAACGAAACTCATGAAGACGTACCGGTACTTTCATTTCTAGTTTAATTGTTTTTGTTATTTCATAACCAAGAGAAATAAGTCTCCCAAATAAATTATTCCAAGCTAATAAATTATTTCAAGAATTTTATAAAATAGAGTATGTAGGCCTAAGTTAAACAGTAAATGTAAGTCAGATTTCAATTCAATAGACCATTCAGTTGATTCTACTACTGTTAAGTGTAGTGTAGGGGCCTCATTCTGAATTTATAAGTTACTAGCTGAACCCGGCAGACGTTGTCTTGCCTTTGACTATTTATAATTTGAGTACCGTAACGTTTAATTGTCTTATTGTATATGAAGTGCTTATAACTAAATTAAAATACGTACGACAACTAATGAAACACATATAGTACAAAGGATAGCCGATTCTTTATTATTGCTCTTATATTAATGCTAGTGGGTAGACAATATTTTTGGTCTTTCTATTCGGCTCAATCACGTCCTGGTTGAAGTTCGTTCGCTACGCTCACTCACCTTTAGGTTGGAGCTCGTTCGCTACGCTCACTCACCTTTAGGTTGGAGCTCGTTCGCTGCGCTCACTTGCCTTCAGGTTAGCTCGTTCGCTACGCTCACTTGCCTTCAGGTTAGCTCGTTCACTACGCTAACTCGCCTCAAGGTTGAAGTTCGTTCGCTATGCTCACTCACCTTTCGGTTGCAAATTAGCTGTTGTCATAAATGTAAAAGAAATAATAGTGCTGCACCCTGTTGGTAATCTTTGTAACTTTAATGCTATTGAAAATCATAGAACAGAAAAAACTTGTTTAATTGAAACAGCTGTTAAGATTCATTAATTCCATTTCTCTTAAGGTTAACATGGGAAACTCCAGAGCCACTGGGGCGGAGCCGATTGGACGGATCACGAAATTGATGGTGTATAAACCTATTCCATGAAATTCTACACGTATGTACCATGTTTCGTGGCAATCGGTTCAGCGGTGTCTGAGTTTATCCCTGCCAAACATATATATATATATATATATATATATATATATACAAACATCCTCTTTTATACTTATAGATTGAAATTGTAATTTGACTGACTTTAATAATAGTATTTTTATTCTAAATCCAAAAGTATCGTCAGTTTTTTTACAATTAGCATTGTTTGAAAGCTTGAAGTTTCAATTAAAGTTGTTAAAATATATTATTTCAAGCACAACTTACAATTGTTGGCTTCCTGAAAATCTTAACCTGCAATTTGTCTTCCGAGGGAGGAGCTTAGGACAAAAGGAAGCCCTAATAAAATATTGGGAAATAGTTAAAGACTTTGTCATGAACAAAGTCATGGAAATTATATCAGAAAAAGGTTGACAGAGTAAAGTTTGAAAGAGGTGGAATAATGTTGTAAACAAAATTCAAAATTATAACCTAAACATTACCGGTATCAAGTCCAACTTCTACAAAGGCAGCTTTGAGTCTTGAATGTCAATATTTCCGTTTAAGTTAGAGATTAAGAAGCAGTTGTGTATAGGACAGAATCTAGAATTTGTAACAGGAATAACTTAGTGAGAAAAAGAAACTAATGATAAGGACGATAAGACGATAAGGTAAAGGTTATGATAACAATATGCGCAGACGCCCAGCGGCAGCGCCAGCAGAAACAAATTTACAATAGCAGACCAAAGGAATCAACGAATGAGGATTTAGGAAAGTCAGCTGGAGTTGGGACTGCGAATGGGGGGCAGGTGGGAGGTTTTGTGGACGGACAGGGTTGCCAGTCTCCGTTCCCTTTCTACAAAACAATTTATCCTACACATTACGGAGAAACTGATTCTCTTTCAAAATTCTGAATGTGCCATTACGTGTGTTAAATCTTATATAAAAATGTTTGTCTTCCTAGTTCTGGGAAATGAAAATACAATTATTATGAAATGATGGTATTATATTATTATATCTTGGTTAGGTAATAAAATGAGTAAAGTTAGGAATTACATAATGCAGTGTTATACATAGGTACTAATTTTAGTAACAGCTTTCAAAAGATCTATTTGCTGTAATATTATATTCCATTTAAAAAGAACAGAAAATGTGTCAAACACGTCCGTTTTATTATACAGGGTGAACCACTTAACTGTGCCACCATTGGTATCTCAGAAACTATTAGATTTATGGAAAACATTAAATGGGGAACTTTTTAATTACATAAAAAATATTAATTCCACCGTTTCAAAAATGGCCACTATTTTCCAATATGGTGGATAACTTTAAAATTTCTTAATGTTGTTTTAGATTCTAGATGCAAGGACCTCAAAACGATCAAGTAAATCGGTTCCGGGGCAAAGGTCTTGCAATGAAACCTACGTAAAAAGCTATACAGTAATTAATTCCTTATATGGGGAATTCGCTAAAAGAACAATTAAACTCATTACACATGAAAAATTACAATTAGTCATTCCTTGAGAGATGACGAGGAAAGGTAAAATATGCAATTATTAACCTAAAAAAGGAAAGAATTAATCAGCAGAATACATTTATTTTCACTTTCTGATAAAAGAAAGTTACTCAAATCCACTTTGGTTATTGGTACGCGGGGATTTAATTAAAGAAGGCTTAAGCGGATTTCGCGAATAGCTGAACAATTCTTCCTACACTCCTCTCAAAGCTTTAAATCAAAATAATTTAAAATTTGTTATTAATTAACGAAGAGTATGATGGCATTCATTCCAATTGTATTATTTTGGAAATAATTGAATTATTATGTCATATTCGCTTTGATAAAAATTAGCATTTATTTCTTAATTCATTTTATTTGTCAACAAATCATTGATTCAAACTTTGAGCTTAAACTTTGATTTGAATTTAATAATATATTTGTTGTGGATTAAAATGCTTTAATCAAATAATCTAGGCTGATATTATCTGGTCTTAATCAGTGGGCACACATGGTAATGTAAGCCCTGTGCCTAGTAACTAATCATCTTGTATAGTAACCTATGGTACCGTGGTGTGGTACCCATCCTATATCCATCCCGCACTCATCAACTCATCCCATACTCAACTCATACCATCTCAATTTCCATGCCCTCTAATCATATTCATATTCAACTCTAATTCCATATTCATTCATGCTACCCTTATCTCAAAGTTACACACATTATACTGTTATTTTGGTCGTGATTGAAGCCGTATAAGGTAGACCTGCTTTAATTGTCAATACTCACTGATTTTGGGCATTTTGTCCTATCCACCAAGTTTTCCCATGTTCAAAATAAGGTCTGTTTGTAAGGATGGTAACATTTAGATTTAAGTTTGATTGTGTACAACTCATATGCGAGTAACAAAATGATAGTCTGTCAAGAATATCCTCTTACTGTTCTTATAAAGAAGCGAATGCTAACAGCGTATTTTATATCCACATAAAATGCAGAACTGGCTATCATATTATCGGTGATTTTGGATTTTGTTACAGAAACTGTAAAAACAACATAAAATTTAAGTCTGGCAAAGTCGTTATTGCAAGTGCCTATAAACTCGTTCTCCTCATGCCGGCCTTCGCTGGCACTTTGCCCGGTTTTAACATGAAGCTGTTATGTGCCACACAATTGTTTCTGCTGTTCTCGCTTTTCATATAATTTTGTTAAATAATGAAAAATTATAACAAACTAGCCCAGTTGTAGAGTATAATTTTGTAGAGTATTAAAAACGTGTTCTTGGTCCTATTTAGATTAATAAATCGGCATTTAAAAAGTGTACTACTTTTTGATATGTGTATAAAATACATTATATTAATTTTGTTTAGTTAAATATGTTAAGTTGCATCCTTAGTGTGCTGAAGTTTAATAAGTGTTCTCTCACATTTCGGGCAGTGTTCTTTACTATTTAATTATAATACATATAAAGTCAATGTTCTCATACCAAAGAGAAGGAATAGCTAAACATATTAAATTTTTATAGGTTTTGTAAAATACTAAAAATAGTTTAACATTTGTTTTATTATTTTTATAACATGTAAAAAATGGTAAAGAACAAAACATTTTCCCTCGTAAATTGGACCGAATCATCCAAAAATATCTTCAGCTGATCCTTAAGTATGGTAAATCCATAAAATTGTATGATTAAATTTACGCTAATACATTGGTCTTGTGTATGTATATGGCTTATTTACAATGTGTCCATTTCAGGTATATTAATTTAATCTTGTCAGAACTCTTGTTAATTTTGTGTTTTAAATTTGGTCGTTATTTCGCAAGGGTAGTTAATGGTTGTAATTTAATAATCGTGACTGCTACTTATGTAGATTGAAAATAAAACATCCGACTATTTGTTAGTTGGTTAAAATCAGGCTATTCATAAAAACATCTATTCCAAAGGCATTTAAAAGTTCCTTTAAAGCACCACAACAAATATAGACTTGCTGGTTCAAAATACAGGATAGGAATGGAAATGAAACTCTATTTATTCGGTGTTGCTTTTCAATCAAACAAGCAACCACCATCGTGTCAAAACAATTCCCACAGTTTTTACTGATCGGGAATGAACAGCAACACTCCAAGTTTAGTCTGATACTTTTGAACATTTATTTTCACAAAAGATATTCTGTCAGGTAAACAATTTTGTTTTACATGTATTTCAAACTTTAAAGTTTTGCTGGTTGAACTAGATTTAAACGTTTTTAAAACGGGGTTTGTTCATTTTGTGTGAACTAAGGGATTACGTCGTTTGAAATTTGGATGGTAAAATTTGTTTTATACAGGGTTAGCTTGGATTCACACAACTATTGAGGATTATGATAACGTACACGTGTTAAAAATCGTGATGGGGAATATGTCCGAAATACCGGTAGTCACTCCAATAAACAATAAATAACGAAAGGTATGGTATAAATCATTGTTTAATGTTTGACATAAACAATTTTCATGTTACGTAATCAAACTAATTAAACTATTTAGTGTGGTGAGTTCTCTGATTCAAAGAAATATCTCCTCGCCCGGAGATACTTATTGTATATTATATATATATATATATATATATATATATATATATATATACTTTTGTGCCCACCCGGTTTGGCAGTCAGTGCGCTGGTAATTTACTCGGTGTGGCAGTCACCCGCCCGAAAGCCAGTCAGCTCTCCCATAAGCCAGTCAGGTATGGCTTCCCGTGCACTTTATACGTATGAAAACAGCAAACCGGTGCTGCTGCCTGTGTCGATAAGCGTAACTGCAATACCAATGCGGAGACTGTCTCATCGTGTGTTCTATCGTGGAGTAGTGTAGCCAGTACGGCACCCTACCCTACTTTGTAGCGGTAAAACCCAGCGGTCTGTAACCTTCGTTTACTCCTTGTTACTATTTGTGTTGGGATAGTGATTAACTACGTGTTAATGTTTAAACATGTTCATACTCCAAATAAATATGATGCACCTCTAATAAGGATCGTCGAATATTAATTAATTATAATTGGTTGAATCTTGATCCTACCCGTTCATCATCTCATATTTTAAGTTATTTTGATTTTTTTTACCTTCAGTTGAAATTTGAGTCAACTTCTCCTTTATACAATATTTTTTATCCTAGTATTTACAGTGTTTCCACGGACCGGGAACTATACGGATTTTCTTTATCTCGAGAAATATACGTGAATCTTGTCCGAGATACTGGAACTGTTTTTTACGCAATTGCATAACGCGAAGGAGTAACTATTACATATGACAACGATATTATTCTATCTGATAAGAATAACCATGAAACTACACTCGAAAGATAAAATATTTTTATAATAATTTCAATTTTACAAACAAACTATTACAGGAATTATATTTTGGGACGGATGAATGATAAGGAAGCAACAAAAAGTGGTCAAGAGTGCAAATACGGTGGGGGGAGGGGGGTACAATATCACGAACGCCAGAAACGATTATTTGTTTACTTTTCAGATTCCTTATCAAATCTCTCTCTCTCTCTCTCTCTCTCTCTCTCGCTCTCTAACAATGTACAGATTGTGGAATTTACGATTTAAGTTTTCCTGCAATTATTTCAGTTCAATCCCATACCTATCCTTATGGTTTCCTATCTATTATTTTTCAAAATAAATAGTAAAGCAGGTTAAACTATTTTTTATTTTATTTTCTTGAAACCAAACACTCTTTACCATCCGGTATTCTGCAGAGTCAAATGTTTAACACTGTGTTTATAAAAATTGAATGGCCACACAATTTTGTGTTTTATTTTTTTTTACTAATAGTAACTGGGATATTTATATATACCAATAAGTGCTGCAAGCTGTAATAAATGCTGTTGATTAATATCAAAAAAAGTTATAATTTATTTTGTATAATACATCGGTCATTGAATAAAAACCATAATGGGTTATCTATTTGTAACTTTAACGTTTTTCAGTCTAATA